TCGGTTTAGGGGTTGGTCGCTTTGTTGGCGACCCACACCTGGTCACCGAGAGGACACGAACTTTTGGCCCGGGAGAGAAGAGGGGAGGGCGAGGTGAGGAGAGGTGAGGAGATGGGGGTGGAGGTAGCCTCTCACCCGCTTTTATCGGCCCTGGTTTCGCTTCACCTGCCAGAGTAAACACTCGCGCGCTCTCTCTCTCTCTCTACACCCATGCGCTTTGTATACATAACCCCCTTTATCACTCCACTGCTGGATGAATACCTCCCGAAGCTGTGTCGGTTGTGGGGGTTGTTTGGACCATACTTCGCCGTGATGGTGGGTGAAAGGGGCTTGGGGTGCCCAGTATCGGTTCAGATGTCATCGCCCACTGATGTTAGCCGTGGCCGAGTATCGAACGGAGGAAGCCCGGGTCCTCGCTGGTTGGTAGGAGTGTTTACATTGCTTGGCAAAGCATACAAAACGTAGGGTACATAAACAAAGCTGTTAATGATGCAAAGAATCATGGTTTAAAATCGATTAGTATGCCCCCGATAAATGAACCAATGTTTAACTAAATTATTTTCATCACACAATATTTTTCATTCTCTCGGCTGATATTTTGCCAAATCAAGTGCAGGATCCAATTTCATGGGACGATGTTTTTTTTCTTCTCCTTCGTGTATTCACTGGTGACCGGGCTGAAACCATCGGACTCACTGCACTTGAAACCCGGCAAAAAACCCCACGGGGAGCATTCAACCCGGACTCGAACGCAGCTCCTCAGCGGTGCGTGGCGGCTGTCTCCGACACGGCCATTGTGAACCCGCCGTTGTCGCCAGGCCCAGCTAAAACAGACCGGCTTAACATATTAAGTCTCTGAAACAAATGAGTCAGCTCAATAATCCCCATTGTTTCTGGGAGCCCCGAGTCCCGACAGAATTCCGATAGCAAGTCGCCACGCGTCCCAGTCTCTCGGTTACAGCGCGGATTTAATGGAGACTCTGATAACCGCGTCCCTATTATCAGCCCAATCAGCACCGTGGGCTCATTCATGCGCATTCAATAAACATTTGCTTGCGCGACTGCAGTTACCCCCCCCCTGCCCCCCCCCACGTGAATCGCCGTCCATTGCGGGGGGCAGGAGAGGTTGGAGCGCATGGAGCAAAATCCATTGCTGTTCTGCACTTCTGTGCTTCCAGCCTCAACAAGGCACACCGGCCTTCAGCAAACCTCGCATTGTCCGGCGTGGAGTCAAAGGATCCCCGCACGGCGTGACAAAGACCACCATCCAGCAGTGCGACTGATATATGCCCTGTGTGTGCATTCAGGCGCACGGGCTAAGCGTATTGTATATACATTCGGCTCGTAGCTAGTAGCGGAGCAGACTTAACCTAGACTTCCATTGGCGATATGAAGTTCACACCCTTCCAAAGAGTGGCGTGGAACTTTGAGCCATTGGATATTTGATGTCCTGTGTAGATGACTTAACAGATCTGCAAACAATCCAGAATCAAAACGTTCGTTGTGGCTAAAAAAATCATTCTTGTAACGAAACAGCTCACCATTATATCCGATTTGCACAGTTGACTACATGCGGTGCGAAAGAAGTTCAACATCCATACAGACACTGCGTCCGTAAATGCGGGAATACAAAAATGGAAGAAGAAAAATCCCACCGTGTTTGGATTTTCAAATCTGATGTCAATGTTGGAATGCGGCGAACTTGGGAACAAGCACAGACACTCCCTCTCTCAGTTTAACTCGTAGTAAGGATTTCGCGACAAATATCATCCACAATACAGGATTTGTTTGTGGTTATATTCTTCTTCTTCTTTCGTATGGCATTGTGAAAAGCAACAGTTTTTATTTTTTGTTAATTATTTTTTGTTTGTCATGAATGTCATAAATGAATTAAAAGGTTCCTCGTGTGCAGTCCAATGATGTGGGGTTGACGCAGTGTGGATTTCAGCGATAGCGCCAGGATGTGCATTGATGGAGCATCGTGGTTAGATCGCGTAAAGAGGCCGAGCTTCGAGTTTCCAAAATTAAAAAGTTCAACAATAATTATTATTGTTATCTTATACATTTTAGTGGCCAGAAACATCGAAACGTTTCGTTTTCGGATATGTATAGTTATTAGCGAATAGTTTGCTATATATGCATCAAATGTAAGATGTTTCGTCGTTACAGAATATCGTGAACAATTACATCAGTCGCGCACTCCCCGTACGATCTGCTGGGTATATATGTATAACAAACAAACACAATTGCGGATTTGTGTATTACAATTAAGAATATTTTTATATATATAAGAAAGGTGTTTGGGTTAGATCGCGTTATTTATAAATGTTTCGTAACCCTCCACGACCCGACTCGGCCAAACAGTAAAAATTGTGTCACGTTTACAAAGGACAAATAGTCCATATTTTGGATATCATTGTTCGGTCACGACACTGAAACAAATATCCATTCGGTGCTGTCGCAGAAAGCAGAGCACCGCCTTGTGCGGGGTTATCTGCATCTGGAAGGTGCTAGCACACAACTGCTTGTGAGGCCCCCCTTCACTCGCTCTCTTGCGCACACGAGGTACGGCGTGTATGTATCGTGGACTTCTTTCGCACCGTACGTAGCCAACCGTGCTAACCGGAGTTGCAGGAGGGGTTTGGAACAAAAAAACTAAACACAAAAAGCAGTTATAAAAGAAATTAGTTCTTGGCGGTGCTAGATTAATTAAATATTTATCGCGTGACTGTCAACCCGGTATTTTTGATTCACCCCCGCCCCCGCCCACCGTAACGCTTCCAACATCAGCGCTGTCGTGGACAATATTAGCACTGCGACAAAACGAGTAAGCACAACAATGAGCCTCCTTCCCAACATGCGTCTCGCCATGTACACGCGCAATAATTTGACACATCCCATTTGTTTTTGTATTTCTAACAACAACAAAATGTCAGCTTTGGAAGTTAGTTAAAACAAAAATCTAACGCAATCACAATTTCATTGTGCAGTCATCGGTGACTGGATTGGAACCATAAAACTCGCTTAGGTTTTGAGAACCCCGCTTTAATGCCTTGCCTCCGATTAGCTATACTTACGGTGCGAAAAACGTTCAATATCATTGCCGGATTATCCTAGTAGCAAAAGTAGCTACATTTGCTACGCGTCCCGCACTTTCAAGGGCCCCGCGCTAAACGCTTTCAAGCTATCAATTCCGGTTCAGTGATTCTGCACCCGCTATGTTATTGTAGTACTATACTGCCTTCACAACTTTTATGAACGACTGGGTGTTTAAGATTAGAGATTTGTCGTATCAATCTGGCTGTATAGCAAATGAAAAAATACAATTTAAAAAATGTGTGTTTTAATATTTACGTGTTTTTTCATGTAGGGCCCCTGTATAACATATACCCACTCACAGCTTAAAGGAGGCGACCTGCGCTTGACTTTTTTCACTCCAACGTTGTCCTCTGGACAGGTTGGTCCCTTCACCTGATGAAGGCCACTTGTGTTGTGGCCGAAACGTCGTGATTTTTGTTATTTTTTTTACCTACGTGACTTTACTGAATAGAACCAAAGAGTATATGCTACATGCCCCGGCACTGTTCAACATACACACATAATCAGAGTCTGCCGACATCGGGATTCGAACCCAGGTTTTCAGCGGTGGCGGCTCAGCGTCTCGGGACGCGGCCGTTGGTGAACCTCCCCGAGTCACGTGACCAGCGGCTTTACATATTAAGTCTTCTGTGTAGCGATTGAGTCATTTTAATCCTCATTGTTTCAGGGCGGCGCGCGAGTCCCGCCAAACGCTGATATCAAGTCGCCACTGGTCTCCCTGTCTCCTCTTCCCCTCCCCAACATCGTTTGTTGTTTTAAACGTGTGTTTACCTTCGCAGTCTCCAACTCAGGCACAAAGATAAAGACGAAAGATCCTTCTCTCCTACTCCTCCTCCGTAGCCTTACACGCGCTTTTGGGGCAAGTGTGCTGGTGTAAATACGTACACAAATGCTGTATCACCTTTCGGAGTGAATAGCGAGCGCCTATTAAGTTCCGCACGGGGCACGAGGGGGTTTTCTGTGGTCAACACACCACCGTCTTTTTCTCCCCAGTGCTGATGTTTTACACGGCGTACTAAATATTCGTTTCAGGATGAGCCGACCGAGTGGAGATCCATGCGCGGTTCGGATATCGCTCATGGGCTGACCAGTTGGCCTTCGTTCGGGAAGCGAACCCAGGTCGCCGGGGTCATAGCACAACCACTGCGCCACCGCTCCCCATGCAGATGAGCTCACAGGAACATCGCAACACAGCCTGGAAGGGGACACATAAACACCCACGTGCAAAACAAACTTCTTCATCTTCTTGGTTCTTTCGGTAAAGTCACCTAGAATGGAAATAAAAGAATAAAACATGATAAAATCAAATCAAAAATAAAATTCTCGCCCTTATACGTGTTGTGTATTTGACCATGGCAGCCTCCCTGAGTCGCTGAGACTGGTTATGGGGAGGGTCCTGTTGCATTGTTTGGCCATGGGAGGACAAGCAGAGGACCCGGGTAAAACCCACCACCGCATGGACACACGAGGCGAGCGACAATCAAAGCGCCACGCCCGGCCGCCTTTGTCTCCCTAGTCGCAATGTTCACCGCACCAGGTACTCATTTTGAGGCTGAGTCGACCTAGGGGAGGCGCAGGAGCGGTATCAGATAAATCGTCGCTGATGTCGGCTCGTGAGCGGGAATCGAACTCGGGTCGCCGCCGGGTTCGTAGCGCAGCGCGCTAACCACTACACCACCGCCCCGCGTAGGTGCGCGAACGGATTGCGATCCAACGAGACGGTGGGTCACGCGACGAAGCCAGGGAGAGGGGATTTTAGTTGATGATTTGGAGGATTGATGCATCATCCACCACTCACCCGCCCATCTATCGACCCACCTACCCACCGACTCCATCACCACCCACCGACCCGACGATCCACCCACCCACCTACCCTCCCATCGCCATCTTCCACCCACACCCAAACACATTCACAACCCCTCCCCCCGCTGCCATATATACAGGACGACACGTCCTATAACAAGCAAGAGCAACTACGCGACTCTCCGCGGGAGGTCCATGGTCGTTTGTAAAGACGCGTAGAGTGGACGGGGAGAGGATTCCCACCTCGAGCGAAAAGACAAAAACAATAACTTTAAACCAGGGAGCCGGAGGAGGAGGAGGAGACGACAACGTCGGAGGAAGAGTGAGCAGGAACCGGGATGAGCAAAGGCGCGATGCCCACTGCGGAACGTGACTAGAGTCATCCGCGAGCAACAGCAGCAGAATCGTCAGCAGCAGCAGCGTCGGCGGCATCAGCGCTAGATTTATCATCGGCATCAGCAGAAGCATTTGCGTCGTCATCATCATCAGCAGAAGAAGCAGCAGCAGCACATTATGCACGCGCCGTGCGTGGGAGTCGCGTCTGTGAAGATGGAGGGGGGACACGAGCCCGACTGGAGCTCCTACTACGCCGACCCGAGCGAGGTGAGGTCATCACGGCAAGGCGAAGGTGCACCTAGCCTGGCACGGGCACCCCCTCGTACGCCGGAGAAAGAAAAAAACAGAATAAACGCCCGGTTGGCAGAAGCTTTGCTGTGCGCATACACTGCGAGCCGTGGGAGCAATTCGGAGCGGTGGCTCAGCGCGCTCGTTCCCATGCGCACGGCCAGCCCGAGTTCGATTCCCGTATATGGCCTGACAACATCAGTGGAGGGTGGCAACCGAGTCTTTGTTCGGTCTCTCCTCGGTCCACTTAGCCTTAAACGAGTTAGGCGCGCTAGGTGTGGAGCGTATATGCTTGAGCGCCGGGGATACAAATGCGGTCGGGCGTCGTACCTGTCCACCCGAAACGACTTTGCGCTGGGTTGCTTAATATACGCTCGCTGACGGCATGTGCTCCAACGTTAAACCGTACTAGGCTACACGGGGAATATTTATCGTTGTATTTGTTTTAAACACACACAAATATATACACACACATATACAGCATACGTGTCTACAGTATATATTTGTCTATATGTAATACGGCAACGTGGTGTGGAGCGGTGGCGCAGTGGTTAGCGCGCCGCGCTGTGAACCGGTGTACTTAAGTTCAATTCCCGTCCACGGCGAGCATCAGCGGACGAGCGACAAATGAACTGTCATTGAATCTTCTTCTCTCTTCACAAACCCGCATTGACCAGCGTGGTGAAGCATGGTCAAACAAACCACCCCCCCGCGGCCAATGCAGGGCTCAGGGCGGCCTTCATCCAGCAATGAATTGACAGATGAGCTGTGAACTCGGGATACTAACAGAGCGCGTGAGTTTTAATATCAATCTCAAGACGTCGTAGTCGAAATTAGTAGCAGCAGTAGGTCTCGGCAAGGTAAGGTAAAAGGTAAAAGCAACGAGCCTACCTTTACTCTACCTTTTACCCTTACCCCATACAAATTACCCGATTACAGGGTAATTACTGGGGTACTACACATGAAAAAGGTTTATAACAGGTAAATGCTAGGTAGAGCGCTTTATTCATATAGAATACTCTCAATGATTCCAATTTTACACGCTTTCTTTTAGCTCACTCTGTCTGTTGTTGTCGTTGTATCCTCAAATCTTGTAACTAAATTTTAACCCACTTCCCAATGTGGTTTCGACTGCGAACTTGGTATACTTATGTCATACTGATGACAATACTATATTCTATTATTAAAAATAAAATAAAAATATTTGTAATCATTTTTTAAACAAGGTACCGTATTTACCGGGTAATACTTCGCGCTACCTTTACCCTACCGGGTAATTCTTCCTAGCTACCTTTACCCTACCCTTTACCTTACCCCTTGGCATGTCGACACCTTTACCTTTTACCTTTACCCTTTTACCCGGTAAAAAAGGTAAATTACCTTACCTTGCCGAGGCCTAAGCAGCAGTGTTGACGTGAAACATAAATTATCCTTCATAATGAAGATGTATACGAAGCACTGTGTAAAAGCGCACACGCAAAACTTTGTTTCACGCGTTTAACTCGGCACCATAGTATGTGTGTGTATATATATACACACACAGAATATACACACACAGAATATAATATATGTATGTCAATGTAAAAAACCGTACATTCAGACGTGGGATTGGCCAAACATCCCCCCATGCAGGACACTCCTGTTAACCAGTTAGGTTTTCCTGGATAAGCGGAGAGGACAGCGATATTATCGGAGCATCCAGTCCGAATGCGTCGATCGACCGAACTCAAAGCGGACGTCGCTTTTGCTCGACTCGCGGCGCTTCGCGTGAGAAGAGAGACGGCTTCGAGTCACGGAAAACTTATTGGATCTCTCTCTCTCGCGTTTTATCCGACGCGACGCGGAGCCGGATGACGACGATCGCTCCGTTGTGAGCGTTTCTCAAATCTGTGTTCGACGCGCGGACCACTCGTTTATAAATCGTTTATTCTCACACTCAGGTGAGGCAGGGCAGGCGACGGGCCGCGGCTGCTTACATTATTTCAGAAATACTTGTTTACAAAAAACTGTTGAAAAATACAAACAAATATATAGGGGAGATGTGGTAAGGGCTAGAACACATTGCCACGTGCCGGAGAGGGCATCGCTCCTTTGGTCAACCCGGTCCATGCTCACTCTTACTTAGCCGATGCAAACATTTCTCCCTGGACCCCCCCCCTCCTCCATCCCTGGTTACAAAACGAATTAACTTATCTCTCTAAATACCAGGAATACAAAATTATTCATATTCCCGAAACTTATTTTTAGTTTAAACGCAGCTATAAGGTTTATTTTAGGGGGAGGGTGTGGTAGGGTTAGGGTAGTTAAATCATGGTGGTTTACCTAACTTAATTTTTTTAAATTAAACATCATAAGTTAAACATTACTTGAATGTCCGACACAAAGTTCATAAATCCATAATAGAGGTTTTTCTTGGGTTAGATCGCCTCACTATAAATGTGTCGTTAAACCCGCAACAACCGGATATGGCCAATCAGTAAAACTAGTAAATATTGTTGATTTAAAGCTTTCGTGACTGCAGTAATTAATATTCTTAACTCTTTCGGTAAAGTCACGTTGAAGGGAAACAATAAAATAATAAAATCTATTGTTTCCCTTCAACGTGACTTTACCGAAAGAGCTTAGAATATATAATAGTAAATATTGTGTTTACTCTCCAACACACCGGTGTGCTGAACTCGTCACAAATTGGCATGTTATGTTTACGTGGCAACCCTTACTAATTGGCTGTGTCGGGTGGTGGCTGGATTAACGACACATCTATATGGATGCGATCTAACCCCCCCCCCCCCCCCCCAAAAAAAAACCTCTTTTGTGGAAAATATTTGTCGCGAAAGCCTACAACTACTACCACGTGTGGTGTTAAAAAGCAATAAACATTGTGATTATTTCCGGATCAACCTGCATGTGCATCACAGCAACGCGGACCACCTGGAGGAGCGTTACGGTCGGTGTTGGCAGTGCTACAGACAAAGCACGAACTATACGGGGTGGTGGCCGCCCAAAAGTCAGGACGCATAGGGTTATTATACAGGGTGCTTCAAAAACATGTTAACACTTCGGAGACTTTGCAAAAATACCACGAGAAATGTCCCTCCGGAACTTTGGAGACCACCTGGAGAAGATTCTAGGCACGCGTTGACAATGATGGCGAATAAGTGGAAACTCTTCGACTTTTTGAAGTTATGAACATTACATTTGTTATCATGTTACAGTTAATTATCCGTTCTTTTTCCATTAAAAAAGATGGTCCCATATAAGTGTTTAAAAAGAAAATTGATGCGCCCTGTATTTATTTTAACAAACAGCGTAAGGTTATTTAATTTATTCTTACACATGTTCAAACTGATTTCCAATACACAGTTGATGCATGATGCACGAATTCTCTTTAGAAATTAATTCGGGACTTTACTTATTTTTTTAGGATATCAGCTGACTTCATTAGCACACACATTTAAAAAACTAATGGAACTCGTTCGTTTTAAAGCTTTCATGACGTCGTGAGAATTTTATTGTGTTATTTTATTATTTTATTCTCATTCTACGTGACTTTACCGAAAGAACCAAAGAAGACCTCGTTCGTCTTTCGTACATTTTCTTTCCATTTTTAAATATCATCTGGAAAGGAAGAAGACAATTTTTGTATATTAATAATGTCGATAACAGATAAAATAGGAGCTTAGAATAAACAATTTAAAATGTTTTAATGCCAGTGTTAACATAAGTGAAATAACCCAATGTGTCCTTACATTTGGGCCAATCTATATATACTCAACACATTCGTAAATGGCACTTCCTTCAAAGTAAAGCAGGTGACGTTTCGGGAAACGGCCCTTCTTGATCGCCTGTTCTTCTCAAACAGCTGGTTGAATATTTTTTTAGAAAACGATGGATCTCTCGCGTTTTAGAGGAGAGCGGGTCGAGGGCTTACCGTACCTCCGATAAGCACGGTTAGCAACGTACGGCGCGAAAGAAGTCCATACGTTCCCCCACCGCCCCTCCGGAGCCTTCAAACTAAACCAGAAGTATGACATCCGAGACCGTGACGGCAAAGCGTGGGGCCCCCCAAAGCGCGGGAGCCGGGGCGGTCGGCCCGATTCGCCGTACACCTAGGAACGTTTCTGCGTGTGGTGGGGGTTGGTGGCAGACGCATAGAGGAGGTTTTGACGTTATAAAGTGTTTCTTTTGTCCAGACAATAAATTATCGCTTATGTTTGACGGGGTATCTATAAATGGATGTGTGTGTGTATATATGTGTATTTTTTTTACTTAACCAACTCACACTGATCGGCGTGGTGAAGTATTATCAATTAAACTCCCACGACCCGCAACAGCGTGCAAAGGCTCTCTCATCCAGCAGTGGATTGGGCATCATATTTACAAATATGTTTTGTTCACTTAACTATTGTTGTTTGTTTATATTCTACCGTCTGAACGTCCGTGTGATTTATTAAGTGAACCATTGATAATATCTCTAATTTAACTTGAACCCATGTTAGTAATTATAATAATAATAATCCATTAACACTGCTGGATGAAGCATTATATGTGCCCGTATTGGTCTTAGGGGTCGTTTAACCATACTTCACCACGCTGGTCAACACGGGTTGGTTACATCGGTGACGGAGGTGGGGATGATGCAGCACGTGTTTTGGATATCACTCGCCAATGATGTAAGTCGTGACGAGGAATCGAACTCATAATCAGATCGCCGCTCAGTTAAAAGCGCAGTTGCACAAACCGTTGTGACCCACCGCTCCACAGCAGCAGCAGCAGCATCTGAGAAGTGCGTTACGGTTGAATTGGTATTGTTTCTGGAGAGCGAATGGTAAATTAAATTATAATTGTTTATAGTTCTGCAACAATACATTTTAAGAAAGGGTACAGTTAAATTCGCAAAGTGTATTCACGTGGTAAGCATTTGACTCATTTGAGTTGTTAAATGTTCCGTCAATTAAAGCCGTTTGATAGGTCAAGCGCGTACAATTGTAATTAGCGTGCAACATTCCTCAAATAAATGAACAGGCCTCCGTTGGTACGCCGTCTACGGGCCTGATGAGACCCGTAAACGACGAAACCGGACCAAAGGTTCCGGTGTTTAATAACAGACGCAGCATAACAATGTTTAACACGACTTAGGATTTGCAACAACACCACGTGACATGTGCTGCTGCCTCCTGGCTATGGAGACCACCTGGAGAAGATTCCAGGCCACGTGTTGACAACGGTGGCGAACAAGTGGGAGTCTCTTTGACTTTTTGAAGCTATTAACATTACATTTGCTATCATGTTACAGTCTATTATCTGTTGTTTTCCATGAAAAACGATCGTCCCATATAAGTGTTACAAGCATTTGAAGCACCCTTGTATAACATCGGTGGTGCTCCTGCAGCATCGGCAGTGTTACAAAAGCGCAATGAACAACAACAACAACCATCAATACATTCGTCAATAACACTGGATGTGTGGTCTTAACATGTAAAATATATAACAGGCGACGTTTCGGATAATGCTCCCTCTTCAGTAGGCCAGATAGAGTGGATAAGAGTTTTGAGACTGCACTTTACATCATGGATCCTCTTTGGTAATGTGCTATGAAGGGCCATTGCCTGAAACGTCGCCTATGGTTTATATTCCCTTTAATGGCCACACGACGGATGTGGCGAGTTTTTTCGCTCTGTAATATTGGTTCGAATGGTCAATTAGGTGGATGGATTAAAACTAACGATCGATTTATTTCAGAATTCCTGTATATTATATTCTGTTTATATATACACTCGGATACTGCGTACAAAATGTATACTTAATTTTACATATATATTTGACACACGAACAATACGCATACGATAGGAAACAATATTTTCACAATCCGGGAATACTAGTTTTACATCGTGCGTATGAAAATTTTACTCTCGAGCAAACTTTCAACCAAATCAACCACAACTTAAATGTATCCTTAATTCCCTGTTAATAAAAAAAATATATTAAATAGCTAAAGGAGGTAATTACCAAAGGGCTGATTAGTGTTACACATACCGTACATATGTGTGTATCCTTACCGGTCCGAATGATTTAAAACCTAAGACCGTCACCACCATCGAGTGCGCATGGAGACTGTTGGGGCGAGGGCCGTTAGGGTTACGAACGAGTGGTGTGGCCGACGTAACGAGTACCAGCTACTCGTTTCAGGTTAAGTCTATCGAGAGCAGTGGTTCTTCTTAATCTGGGGGTGCGAGATGCCCTTTCTGGGGGTGCGAGACATGAGCAGATTTTTTTTTCGAAGGTAAATAATCGGAAACACAAGTTAAGCACGGGCACGTAAGCACAACTACTTTGTTTCATCAAACCTGTGTCTTTATTATTAACATTATAAATGCCGTTAACGATTACAAACCAAAGGGGTGGCGGCTGCAGTAAAGGTTAAGAACCACCGGTCTAGAGGATCGCCTATCTGCCACTGATGTTGTTCGATGGAGGCAAATCGAACCCCTGGTCTTCAGTAACGTAGCGTAGTGCACAAACCACTGTACCACCGCTCCCTACATACAAATACAAAGATCCCCGTGTAATCATGCAGACCATTGGAGCAAGTACTATGAGAGAGCGCCTATTATTAATAATGCTCCTTTTATCGTGCAGGGGGAACTTCATTGGGACTCAAAACTTATGTTCAAGAGAGTCCTGCGTTTCTTACGTTTGGATTCCTCCAGTATTCATAAATATTCTGATTCCGATATTGGATGAGATGGAAATACTCCGTCAACCCCACGCATACGAGGGGATATCGCTCAAACCTCCGAACAGATTGATTCAAGAATACTGGCCGTCCTAAACGAAACTATACTGAACTATGTTTTATTTTACCATCACGTGGAAATGTATAGCAGCCAAACACTCGAAACGCGCGATGTTGATTCTAAATGTGGAGTCAAAACCCAGAGGATCCGGAGAAAAAAATCCACGCCACCAAGGGGAGAGACGTGGAAACAACAAATATACAGCATGCATCAGTGTGGGAATCTAACCCACAACCTCCTGTAACCAGGAGAGGTAGTTAACATCTGGGCACCGTGGTGCCAATCTGAAGGCCACCTCGCAGCCCAAGCCTGGTATTCCCAGGCGGTCTCCCCAAACAAGTTATAAACAGGCTTTATTTGAAGCTTTCGTGACTGCAGGAATCCATACTCTCTAGTTCTTTGCGGTAAAGTCACGTAGACACGTCGTGTTTTCTTTTAATATTTTTTCTATCTACGTGACTTTACCGAAAGAACCAGAGAGTAAGTTATAGACAGGCTTTAAGCCTGCTTATCTTCATATTTCCCGACGAGATCAGGGCGCGCGTTCCAGATCACTTGATCGTTTTGACTGATAGGTTCTCGCTAACAGGCACTTACCCCGACATGCAACGTAAAGGGTACACGGTGGACGGTTGCCTTTGTGTGTTAATTATTAAGAGTGGCACGGCACGCGAGGGGGGTGGAGTAACACCACAGGACTATACGCAGACAAAGATCCCCCGTGTAGCCTTATATAGACTCTGATGAGTAAATTCCATTAGCGAGCACTTTTTGCCATACGACCAAATCGTTTCATCGCTTCGAGCCCGGTGATCTGAGTTAGATTCCCGACCGCTTAAACGATTTCTGAACGAGTTCCATGACTCCCCTAGATAACCTCAACCTTAAATTAAGTACATTATGGGACCTCATTTGCCAGTAACAAAATATGAGAATAGGTTTTCCCCTTTTTTTGGCATCAAAACAGTTGTGTTAAGATGCTAAAACACCAAACTGCAACCTTTTACAAGGACTCATGTCTGCATTAACCACAATACCTGTGGTCAGAATGCAAACAAAAAACACACTGATAATATCTGCATTGTCCTTGAAACTGATTGGTCCACACCAGAGACGGCTTTCTTTTGAGCCTCGTCTCAAACGGTGTTAGACGAGAGGACGCCAAAAGGCGAACACAGCACAAAGTCAATGCCACTATCAGAGTAATGAGAGCTCGGGGTGAGCATCCACATCATGGGACCTCCTTTGCCAGTACCAAAATATGAGAATAGGTTTTCCCTTCTTTTTGGCAACAAATTAAATGAAGTGTCTGGTGCACGGCGTGTAGACATCAGCACTGGGGAGACAAAGGCGGCCGGACATGGCGTTCAACTTAGCGGGGGAGGAGGGGAATTGGGTCAGACATCACTTGCCGCTGATGTTAAATAGCAGTGGTCGGGAATCGAACTTAGAGGGCTGTGGGTTGGTAGCGCAAAGCGTCAACTACCTCGCCACCTCTCCCCCAAAAAAGACACACAGACATGTACTCACATATGCTAACTCACAACGCACGATGAAAAAGATACCCCATAGCACCTACACAGATTGTTGGAAGCAAATGGTTAAGCGAACACTTATGAAGGCCGGCACAGCACACGAGGGGTGGGTGGCCAAGCACCACGCTGCACCAGGGACTCGTTTGAGGCTGAGTTGACACAAAGACAAAGATCCCCCGTATAGCCTTAACAGACTGTACGGGCAAGTGCTGTTAGCGAGCACCTATGAAAGCCGGCAAGGCACACGAGGCCATGGGGTGGCCAGAACCACACCCGCCCGGCCGCCTTTGTCTCCCCAGTGACGGTGTTTACACACCGCACCAGGTACTCTGAGTTGATATATATACACACACGACAAAAAGTCCCCGTATAGCCTTTAACAGATCGTTGGAGCAAGTGCTGTTAGCGAGCACCTATGATATACACACACACGCGCGCAGACACACAGACACGCGTCTCACCTGCCCGCCCGTGTCTCGCTGCTCCGTGGGGACTTGCAGACCTACAGCACCTCCGCTGCCATGAACGCGGGTCTGGGCGGCCTCGTCTCCATGAACGGCTACCACATGGGCCACATGCACGGGACCTTGCAACCACCGTCCTCCGTGGCGCTCCCCACATACGGCTCCCTGCAACAGCAGCAGCAGCAGCATCATCATCAGCAGCAGCAGCATCATCATCAGAGCTCCGCCACGACATCCCCGCAGCTGTGCGGGGTGATGCAGCAGAGCGGCACGGCGCCCGGCACCCTGCAAGGAGGCGGCTACGGGGGTCTGATGGGCGGCAGTGGCGTCGGCGTCGGAAGCCCCCTCGGAGGGGACCCCTACGGCGGCGAGGATTTCCTGCTGCAGGGCGCCGGCGGCGGCGCGGCGGGGGAGGCGCGCGGCCCGGCGCAGGACGCGGCGTTCAAGGGCTACCGGCGGAGCTACACGCACGCCAAGCCGCCGTACTCGTACATCTCGCTCATCACCATGGCCATCCAGCAGTCGAGCGGCAAGATGCTGACGCTCAACGAGATCTACTCGTGGATCACCGACCTCTTCCCCTTCTACCGGCAGAACCAGCAGCGCTGGCAGAACTCCATCCGCCACTCGCTCTCCTTCAACGACTGCTTCGTCAAGGTGCCGCGCTCGCCCGACAAGCCGGGCAAGGGCTCCTTCTGGGCGCTCCACCCGGACTCGGGGAACATGTTCGAGAACGGCTGCTACCTGCGGCGGCAGAAGCGCTTCAAGTGCGACAAGAAGGGGACGCCGAAGACGGCCAGGAGCGCTTGCGGCGAGCAGCAGCAGCAGCAGCAGGGAGGTGAACTGCAGAGTAGCCGTGCGGAGGAGATGGAGCAGCAACAGCAGCAGCAGCAGACTCGGCCAAGCTCGGCCTCAGCTCTGCACCATCACGAGGACTCGCCGCCAGCCGAGGCCATGGTATCCTCTTCTCACCGCCAGGACGGCGCGCTGGTCCTCCCGCCGCTACTCCAGAGCCTCCACCATCAGCAGCAGCAGCAGCAACAGCATCAGCAGCAGCATCATCATCAGAATCATCAACAGCAACAGCAGCAGCAGCACGGCGCAACCGATCCGGCCTCTCTGCACCTTAAGATGGACCCCAACTACTTTAGCCACCCATTCTCAATCACCAGCCTCATTTCTTCTGGACAGCTGCATCAGCAACAGCAGCAGCTGCTGCAGCAGCAACAACAGCAGCAGCAGCATCAGCAGAGGATGGATTACAAGGGCTATGAGCAGGTAGTGCATGGATTGTCCGGGTACGAGTCTGAGATGCACGCGGCCATACACGGGAAGACACTGATGGAACACACGTCCATCGGCACCACTGACCCAGCAGTCTACAGAGGTCTGTATGCCCGGCCACTCATGAATTCGTGATTATATCAAACCTCTTATCTGTGTGCATGTGATGTATATAGCAGGGTGTCCATAAAGGTGTCATCCAGTCATAAAGGTATCATCCATTTATAAAGGTGTCATCCATTCATAAAGGTATCCATTCATGAAGGTGAATCAACACCCTGCACCACCCCAATTCAAACCAGATGTTCCATCTCAAGGGATAACCCAGGATATATATTTTAACAGGTTAGTAGGATATGAACACGGCCTTTTAGTCAATCCGCTGCTGGACAAATGTCTCCCCACACCATCGTCTGTCATGGGGGACGATATGTAAACATACTTCACCACGCTGGTCAATGCGGTTTAGTGAATGGGGGAGAGGGGAGGGGCGGGCTCGGGTATCCCTCGCGAGTCTTGGCTGTGGCCTGGAATCGAACTCAGGTTTGCAGAGTAGAGGTTTGGAGGGAAGTTTTGGTATAGTTTTACCTACACCCACACATGTGCCTTCTAGTCATATAATAATGGATGACATTTTTTTACGGGACAGCACAATACATACTATGAGAAACAGCCACAACTCGTACACAATAAACAGAATTCGAACGAATATTATGATTCGTGCATGCCCAAAGATGATGAACATTGAGCCCATGATGAGCGGTGCCCCGATGACTATCTGTGCATCAAGTCGTGTCAATAAGCAAGGTTCCCCGATAAGTGGCATCAAAAACGCGTGCGTACAACATCGAGATGAATTCGACATATACCCCGAACAAGGCTACATATATAGGCGAGAATAGGTGAATAGGTTGAATCGATTCATAAGCTAAAACGATGACGCGCGCACACGGTCGCGATGTTCGCGTGTCAAAATCGAAATCCGTGTTTTCCGATCCGCACGCGCTGGACGAGACATCGACATCGGGCGGTCATGGAAGACGTAGGTCGACTGGCGGCCACGGGCACATTCGCGATGGCTAGGGAATGGTTGAGGCACAGGAGGGCGACGGACGAGCCCGCCGACACGCGGCGACCACTGGTGGAGACTGAGCGACGCGATGGGTCATCGCACGCGGCTAGGAAATGTGACATCACGAGAGATGCGAAGACGGCGAAGAGAGATGCTTCCGTCCAACAGTTGACAAGATCAAGGCTGCGGTGGCTGATGGATGATGATGCGGAAGGATCCCTGCAGCCGCTAGATGCCGCTACATTCACCGCAATGTGCACAACAACAACAACAAAAACCGTCAGAAATAATAATCGCGAACGAATATTTTAATGCTGCGTTAATTACACGAACGTGAAGCCCAGGCCGTGCAGTGTCATCGAATCCCAGCCGATTGCACCCTACACGCCTCATGACGACAACAGCTGCCGCCATCCACCACTAAGCTGTGGTGACGCCACCACGGCGCTTGTGCCAGGCTAGGTGCACTTTGAAGGCCACGTGAAGTGTTGTTGAAGGCTCGCCGGCAACGAGGTCACGGGACAGACCCAGGTGCCACGGGTTGACACACGCACACACACACAGATATCCATTCGTTGTGAAATATAACGAATACTGTCAGCAAATATTAATGTACGGGACAAGCTTGCACAGAGAGAGCCTTGTGTTTGGTTTATTTGTTGATGCTGCTGCTTTGGTAGTGGTGCACAAGCACAACAAACAACAACAAAAACTCAACACGTTCGGTTTCAATAACACTGAATGAAGTCAATAATACGCTTATGATAGACGACGTTTCGGGCAATGACGCTTCTTCACAGCACATAAATGTCGAAGCCCCGTAGTATGAGGTGCGGTCTCCAAGTCGTATGCACTTTATCTCTCCGGCCTCTGTGTATGTCCTATGACGAAGGGCCATTTCCTGAAACGTCAGACATATATTTTTCCTTTCAAGGCCACATACAGTGCTGTTGACGAATGTGTTAGAAATGTTTTTGGTTCGCATGTGTGTTTGTGTGTTGATTCTACTGTAATCTGGTGAGAGATGTACCTGTTGATGTATGTTTGCAGAATCTGGTGGATTGTGTAATATTTGGTGACTGGTGTCGTTGGTTTACGTGTATTAACACTTTGGTCCGATGATGTTTGATGGTGTATATGTAAGTTCTGATGTGTGTACATGTGTGTTGTTTAATATCAAACATAAAATGATCCCCTTTATAGCCTTAACAGACTGTTGGGGCAAGTGCTGTTAGCTGGGAGCACATGAGGGGGTGGGTGGCCGACACCACGTCTGGCCGCCTTTGTCTCTCTCGTGGCGATGTTTACACACCGCACCAGGTACTCATTTGAGGCTGCGTCGACCTAGGGTAGGCCCAGTACCAGTTAAGATAATCGTCACTGGTGTTGGCCGTGAGTGGGAATGAAACTGTATACCAGGCGAGGTAGTTAACATCTGGCCACTGTGGTGCCCAGCTTAAGGCCACTTCGCGGCCCAAGCCTATAGCAGCACGCTAACCACTACGCTCTCTCTCTCGCTCCGCTACTAGGGAGACAAAGGCGGTCGGGCGTGATGCTGGCCACCCCCACCGCTGCTCGTGTGCCGTTCCGGCCTTCAAAGGTGCTCGCTTGTAGCAAATTGCACTAGCAGTAGGGTCAAGGCTAAACGGGGGATCTTTGTGTAAGAGAATGATGACGTGTCTACAAAGTGTTGGGAATGTTGTTTTGTGATGTCTTGCGTAATATGTCCGTGTGTGTTTACTGTCTGTAAATTTATGTTTCTGATTTAGTATATGTGTGTGTATGGTTACGATTTTTTGTAACTGGTGTGTTTTAATATTTATGTGTGTGTGTATGTTCAACACGTGTTTAGCGGTCATGTGTGATGCAATATATGCGTGTGATGGCATACATAATTGACGTGTGTCCGATTTATACGTGTTTTTCTTGATGTCGTGTCTGATGTAACTCGCACGTGTGTCTGGTTCGACATGTCTTATGACGTATCTCTGACGTATCTCTTTCCGTCACGTGTGTTGAGTGACCATGCCTCTGCTGACCGAACGCACGCGCGCACGTGTCAAGCCGCATGCACGTGGTGTTAATATTCATTCAGTTGTGCCTCTGTATTATAATTCTAGGCGGGTGAGTGTGTGCGTACGTCTGTACTAACTTCAACAATGTCAATGATGACAAATATACAGTCCGTGTACATACATATATACAGCAGTGAGACAAAATGTACATAGGCTAAATACAAAACGTACAGGGCTGCACGCGTGGTTAATTAGTGGCGTTAAAAAATGTTGGTTTCACGGGTAAGAGGGAATAATGGAGTTTGCTTCGACTTTAAAAAAACAAAATGTGAGTCGGGGAGAGGGCGTCACGTGATATATTTTCCAGAACTCAGCTCCGGACAGCTCCAATCGAAATTCAGCCCCGCGCACACTTATACAATAGACAAGACAAAGATCCGCAGACTTATTGGGGCAAGTGCTGTTAGCCGGTATTTATTGAAGGCGGGACGGCACACGAGCAGGTGGGTGGGCCAGCAGCAAGCTCGGCCGTCTTTGTCTCCCCAGTGGCGATGCTTAGACATCACAGTCGATTACTCATTTGAGGCCGAGTCGACCTAGGTGATGTTGGCCGTAAGCGAACTCGGGTCGCTGGGTTCGTAGCGCACCGTGCTGACTACTGCGCCGCTGCTCGCCTATTTCCAGGGCGGTCCATGGGGGGGGGGGGGTGCGGGTCTCGGGGTAAACCCCACCCTGTGTGCCCCCACCCCCCAAAACGCGGGGCCCAGGGCGGTCACCCTGATTCGCCGTACGCGAGGGACGGCTCTGCCTCTGCACACTTTCCGTGTGGCTGCGAATCGCGTTTTGCCCAACAGATCTTCTGTTTCAGTTATCCACCACCAACCATGGCATCGTTGGTTGATGACAAGACAACCGAAAAATATCGTCGAGTTTCAATCAACCAACAAATGGCCGACAAGGGAAGCAGACTAGCCAAGCACGACTTGTGAATTCGGCCTTGTGCATGAATAATAAAATGAACCAGGGCTTAAATATCCAGTCGGGTCGAGGACGTCATTGTTGGGCTGCCCCCGGAAATGTTTTCCTTGAGAAGATGAAGCCCCGGATATTGGACACAACACAGAAACAACGTGTGTGCATATTCTTGGTTTTTTTCGGTAACGTCGTGTAAATAGAAAACAAATTTTTAAAAAATAAAATAAAAAATAAGATAAAATTGTAATTGAAAGAATAAATTGAAAATAATAAATGCAAAAAACCAGGCGCCTGATGAAGACCACTTGTGTTGCGATCGAAACGTCGTGGGTTTCCTGCTTTCATTATTTTCGATTTCTTATTTTTATTTTATCTGAATTTTATTTTATTTTAATTTTTTTCTATTTACGTGACTTTACCGAAAGAACCAAGAATACGAATATCCTGCAGTCACGAAAGTTTTAAGTCAAAATTTAACGTGTGTGCACTTTTATTTTGCAAGCAAGACACCGCAGTGTTGTTTTGATGCAGACGTCGTTTCTCCCAACGTGTTCCGAAATGTAAATTATTGTTTTAAATAAAGTTTTAAATGTTCGCTACGTACGCATGAACACGCGCCGGCGTTATGAACGCGTTTGTGTGTGAAACTGACGACTCGATCCGTCACGGTTAGTACGTCATCTTCTGAAGCCAAGGGATGGGAACGCGAGGGTTACGCGATCACGCGGACCCAGGAGACGGAGTGGTCAACTTCAGCTCGTGGTGTGCACGTGGCTTGGTGGATCGTTACATCGGAGGATCGTGAGAGATGACGACGGCGGTGGATCGATCCATGGCTGTTGCTGTCGATGGTGATCTAAAGACACTAGAATTTCTGCGCGCTCAAGGTCGTCGAAGTTCTCATCTCCTGCGGAGGGCTCCTCAACGCTCCGCGCGTCGCCCGTCGCGCCCACTGGTGTCCTCTTCTCCCCACCACCCCACTCAAAAGGGGGGTGAAAAAAGAGGGAGGGAGGGGGGTCGACAATTTTTTTTTAAACTGTTGGATCAACTTTTTACCCCCACATCTGGGGGGGGGGGGTGGGGGTCCACTTTCTATATCTTTTTGATTCGGGCCTTCTGAAAGGCTCTCACAATTTAGTTAATGGACAAACGGATTGCCGGGCTTTTAGAATAGAAGGAGCGGAGTATTGATTGGTTTCACTCAAGACACATAGACGTGTACCAGACAATCACACATGGACCAGGTACAGAACCCCAACACACAAAAGTGAACAGACGAACATAGACACCTATCTGCAGACACGCAGATACAGGCTCAGACGCAAACACAGACACGTGCAAGTGAACCGTGCACAAACTTGGAAACTCGGCAATAGTTTATTGCAGGTTAACAAATCACGACAAAATAAATACTGTAGTCTACCGACTGATTTTATGACGCACACTCACCATGTGACTGAAGACATCGATACGCACGTCACAATTAAGACGGGCGCGTGCACCCCATGCGACGAAAAATTTAATTTCTAAATCATAAAATGAATACTTTCAGAACGGTTTTCATCATCAGTCGCGATCATTGTCTGCCCTCGCTGGACTTTGATAAAAAAAAAAGCTGTTTAAATAAACATTGTGTACATAAAGTATTTTTTTTAAAACACATGAATCACAAACTAATGTGGAACATACAATTGGTGGTGCTCAAATACGTGTTTCCGGCACCTCCGATTAGCACGGTTGGCTATGTATGGTGCGAAAGAAGTTCAACAGACATACATGTTTTGGTTGCGGAGTGGTGGCACAGTGGTTAGTGCACTGCGCTCTGGATCCGATGAAAACCCGAAGTTTGATTCCCGACCACGGCTATCATCAGTGGCGAGTCAAATCTGAACCTGTCCTGGTCCTCGCCACCCCCCCCCACCTCCCCCCACAACTTTCCTGCACCAACCGACACTGACCAGCTTGGTGAAGTATGGTCAAACCAATCGCATGACACCGACGGGGTGTGGAGAGATCTTAATCCGCCAATTATTTTTTAATTCGTAATTAAACACTTTTTTTTTAATATCCCAAGCGTTTACAATAAAATACTGTTTGACTTTACTCTTCTTGTAAAGTGTACAAAAATATCTCCAAATAAAACATTTGGATCGCACGCTTTTGTAAGAACACTCGAATGCGGCCGATTCAATATCATCGATCCTTTAACTCGAAGGCAAGCCCTCTCTCGCCGCACAAACATCGGAACGACAATTAGCCACGGAACCTTTCCCTGTTCGGCGTTGCGGATCGATTCGAGAAACGTTCTTTTACATTCTTGCGAACTTAGCCGCCTCCAGTGGCTGCGTGGGGGCGACGTTAAATCCGTTACGTGCACGCGACGCGCAACGGATAGAAAAACACCGAATTCTTTACTGCTGCACGATAGTTTTGACGCGTGCATCGATTCCTCGTTACACCTCCACACACACACATACGCACACAGCTAACCCACAACCGCGGCGACACTGTGCATGAATTTCTTTGTTTGCAGCGTTTAAAAACGTATGGCGGACAGGAAAATCTACTGCTAGGCCCTTAAAGCTGCCAACACTGGTTTAGAGCTGGGATGATGAATCAATTAAAAAAAAATAGCAATCAACTACTTTTTTTTCCTGTGGTCGATTACTCTGGCTACTATAATTAAAAAAAAACGGTCCCTCCCCACCATCTCCCAAACACATCCTGTCTCCTCAAGACGGGAAACCTTCCCAACCCTCCCACCTCACTCCAACCATGAGCCACGCCCGGCGTGCCGATGCCGATTCCGTGCCCAAGCCGTGCCCCTCACCACCCGTCCTTCGGCACATGTTGGAACAGAGGTGAATCCTTTTCATTTTACAAGCGCTATCCGATTAGCCTAGTTAATCGAAACGATAACCGGGAGAGTAATCGATTACTTAATCGGGTTACAGCTCTGCACTAAGTTGTGTGCAAACCTCAGCAGCAACAGACACAGGTAAACCACCTCCATGATGTCACACGCTGTAGGGTGGAGGATGAGAGATGATCAGAGCTAAGATTATGGACCCGCTCCTCACGATGTTGTTGACACAGCTCCTGATAATGCTGCTGCTGCTGCTGATGAAGATGCTGCTAATACTGTGCTGCTGTTGATAATTATGATGGCACTGCTCTTGATGATTCTGACTATGCTGACGGTTATTCTATAATACTGCTGCTGATGATGGTGGGGTGACGATTCTAATGATGAAGATGCTGCTTCCTGAGGCTGCTTTTATTGCAGATGATCGCAATGATAATGCAAATACTGCTGCTTATGATAATGATGCTATTGGTGTCGATGACGATATTGCTCAACGCGATGCTACTGCTACTGATGATTAAGACACCGCTGATTATGAAACCAATGGTACTGCTGGCAATAATAATGCCGGTTACCAACAACTGCCAATGCCGGTGACACTGCCACTACTGCCAATTACATTGGCGCGCTAATACTCCTGCTGATGATGGATGATGCTCATGGTCCTACCGATGACAGCAACGATGCCACCGCTAATGATGTTGACGCTGGTGCAGATGACATCACTGTCATATCACGTTTGATGAGCCAGCTTTTTGCGCAGAACTCCAACCAATCTCTCCAACCTGGGGAGAGAGAAGATAAACACGCACACAAATATCCCATCAGCCTCCAGTGCACGCACGGTTATCTTTATGGCGCTGTTTGTTTAAAGAGCGTGTATTACGATGCCCAATTGCAATGCCAGATACGTCAACAAATTTACACATTACGGGTTCTCTGAAGGCAAAAAAAAAATCAATGCCACTTAAAGAGGGAAAAACCTTTTAAAAGATTTTACACATTGTTGTTTTTGTTGTTACTGCGCAGAGAGAATCTTTTCAAGGACTTTCGTAAAGCTGCCCACACACACCCACACCCACTTATCGAGCGTTGCGAATGCCCGCAATGGCATGCCGTCATACCGACGGCTCGTCAAACTACGGCGAGCGGTGCAGGCAAAAAGGAGTTGTCATCTCAAGCTCGCTCGCCATCGACGCACGATCCACCGAACCCAGCCCAGCCAGGGAGCGCAGCGCGAACCGGTGGGTTTGGGAAAATTCAGTTTGCATATTCGCAAACGAGTCCTTTTTGCTGTGGCTTGTGCCTCCCAAGTTCTGGGCAACCTCCTTGATCAATCGTGGCCAGTTTTAATAGCGTTAGTCCCGAAATAGCAAGATACTGAGAGTTAAGTTTTGTTTACATTGAATAACTCGCATTCGTTAATATCTCTGTGGCCTTATAAAAGGAGAAAAATAAATATCTAATAGGTGACATTTTGGGCAATGGCCCATCTTTAGAGCACATAAACCACTTTTTTTTTCTTTGAAGGCCACAGTGTGAAATTTTAATTTGTTGTGCTTGTGCACCCCTGCCAATGCAGGATCACCAAATCAAAATATAAACTAAAAAAATATATATTTTACCAGGTAACGTCCATTGAGCTATATGGCCCTTTTTCAGAAGCGACCTGGCTACCACAAATTATATCTCAACGAAGTGTATTATCACACGGAAATTTATAGCAGCCAAATACGTTAAATGTGTGTTGCTTATAAATGTGGAGGGAAAAAACCGGAAGACCCGGAGAAAAATCCACGCAACCACAGAGAGAGGGACACCCAAACTCCAAATATCAGGATCGAACCCATGACCTCCTGTATACCAGGGCGAGGCAGTTAACATCTCACCACCAAGGCCGCCAAACCTTAGCTGGACAGCGCGTACAAAAAAAAACAAAAATTTGAATCCACGAGAGCCGCCGCCGCCGGGCATTACCTCTCCGCCTTGTCGTCGGCGACGGCGCGGTCGCGCTCGGCGTGCAGCAGCCGGGCCCGCAGGGCGTCGCGCTCCGATTCCGCCTCCTGCAACCGCCCGTCCGGGGGGTGTCCATGACCCCGCTCGACCCCCCCGTGCGCCGACCCTGCCGCGGGACCCTTGGCCCCGTCCGGCGAGCGCGACCCTGCGCTGCCGCCGCTGTCGGAGTTGACGTGGTTGCCGTCGTGGTTGCCGCCGTGGTTGCCGTTGTTGCCGCCGCGTCGCTCGCCAAGGCTGCCCGTCTCTTGGGACAGAGACTTGTGGAGGCTGTGTACACGTGATTGACGACAACAATTGCGCGTTATACTTTCGCTATCTTGTTCTACAAATTATATTCCGATTGTGCTTTTGACACCACGCGACTGGATGATTGTAGTTACTTTTGAAATTACCAAGGCAGCGGCGCACCGAGTGTTAACCAACAGCTCCGTTACAGTAAATCACGAGATGAAGTAATTTTCAATTCAGAACCATTGCAGGCGAGGAGCATGTACAGTCATTAGGTCCACAGTATTTTTCAGTAAATCATCATAATCGGCCGTTATCTATTCACGCTGGATAAAGGCCTACTCCCCTCCCCCCCCCTCGCCCCGCAAGCCGTCAGCATCTTTCATGGTCTCACGATTTAACAATCCATCTCTTGCACCTGCACATGAACCAATTTCATCGCTCCATCTCTGCACGGTGGACGTCCTCCCGGGCCATATTCCTTTGGCCGCCACTCTATTGTTGGTCTTGTCCACTGGCCATCATCGTCTCTTCGAGACGTGTTCTGCCCAAGCCCCTGCACTTACTTTTACGATCCAAAAACAAGTGGGGGCTCTTACCTGCTCACAAATAAAGGTCAGCTCACTATCTCATACTGCGACCTTGTCTCGGCGTTCGGTAACCTTGATAAACACGGGAATGCGGAGCTGTGAGACTCGCCAGTTAGAGCCTGCGGTAAGTACAGGCCATTGTGAATTAATTTTTAAGTCTTCGACGAACCATGGAATGTTGAACTATTATTAAACGTCTCACGTGGTATTTGGATGGGTCTTCATTCAGATTGGCTGGAAATCGTGAATTATTATTATTGGTTTTAAGAGGGACTACCAAAATCACCAAAGGTTTAGGTGTAGATATTTTCATGAAAAACCAAAGAAGATGCGCAGAGTTTTTGTCAATCCACTGCTGAATGAGGGCCACGCCACACCAAGCGTGTTGTGACGTTTATTTGACCACAGCTCCCCACACCAGCCAATGCGGGTTGGCGAAGCAAAAACAATATACATAGACTAGACCGGTTATTGTGAAACTATTTTCGGAGGAATAAAAATAAATCTAATACAATAAAATAAAAACACTATTTGTAACTCTTGCAGCTTTATGCGGAAGCGTGCATGCCGGACCCCATTCACGTGACCGTGGCGTATATTGGTGACCAAGCAACGAAATAGGATGCATATCTAACAGGGGGGGGGGGGCTTTGCCTATAAACATCTGGCGGCTCACAAGCATTGGTTCAAGCAAGCCTGACTCTGCTGATGGGACACAATGTCAAAACCATTCCAGAATTTTCCTTGTGAAATTATGCACTCACAGAAGCCAGTGTGACTTAAATAAATAAATAAATATCCACTTTTACGTGGAGAGACAGATATGTGAAGGAGGCATAATGTCTAGTTTTTATTTATTTGTTAATTATGAAGAGTTTGATTTAGATACTGAACAAACCTTCCTTGCTGCAATTACAGCTATCACCACCTTTGAAGCCACAGCAAGGGTCCTTTTAGCAGCTGGATTAGAACAACTGCAACCATCAAGATAAGGGGCTGGGGAATTAGCCACCTTATCTGAGAGCGGGCCCTTAGCCGGCTCCAGACTCCCTTTTGTTGGGCACTGCCAGTCAACTGAGCTGAAGTGATTGGCTTAGTGGCCATAATGTAAACTCCCTTTGTCCCTGTCGCAGCTGCTGCCTCCAGCAACAGAAGTTACCTCCTCTCCTAAGGTGGCCACTCACAGCTGCATCCTAAACCAGGTGTGGGGAACCCATTGGCTCGTGGGCCGGATAGGGCCCACAACATCAGTTCAACTGCACCATGGCCACAGGAGGCCGACAACTTCTAAATGGCCCACAAACAATATTCATAGGCCACTGCAAACATCTTAGCTGCTTTAATCAGGTGCAGGAGAGGGTTATTTTTTAACCTGGAAACGAGACTTACGTCACTTTCATCACTACAAGGGGCCTCTTCCATTGGTAGAAGTGATGGAGGCGTAGTGTATAAAAGCATGGCCCACCGCTAAAGGTATTTGATATCGCCATCGGCCCTGAGTAAAGGAATTATATGCACGGCAATTAAATACCTAGGAACGGTATAAAAATCAGCGGCACGGTGTTGCATCCACTTGCACACTCAACGGCTACACCGCTGCAGACAAAACAAAGACAAAGGCCCCTCGCATAGCCTTAGACTATTGGAGGAGAAAATGTTAGCGAGCACCCATGAAGGCCGGCACGGCACAAGAGGTGGTGGGTGACCAGCCTTTGTCTCCCAAGTGATGATGTTTTTACACACCGCACCAAGTACTGATTTGAGTGCCGAGTCGACCTAGGGGAGGCCAAGGACCGGTTTTCATAATCGTCACTGGTGTTGACCGCGAGCACGAATCGAATCCGGGGTCGCCGCACAGCACTGCAGACACAAGCATGGGGTCACACACACACACACGGCGCCACAGGTACGCGAGGAGAGAGGGGCTAGTGCTCATCACGCCACACGCACCTGTAGTAAACGCGCAGCGTCTGGATCTCCTCTTCCAGCTTGTCACAGCGTGACAACGCAATGTCCCTCTCCTGCTGCGTGGCCACGAGCTGAGCCTGCGGGAGGGAGGGGAGGGGGAGGTGAGAGGAGGGAAAGAGGGATATCAATACAAGGTGAAACAAACACTTGCGCACAACTCACAAATGCGTACGTACACACACACACACACGGTTGGGGCTACGTACGGTGCGAAAGTTCAACATACATACAAGCACTCACCTGTGCACGGACATGCACACAAGTGCACACACACACGCACACACACACACACACACAAGTGCACACGCACAGACATGCAGACACGTGCGTACACACACCCACGGACACACGCGTACACACACACAAACACGCTTGCTCGTACGACTATCCAGGACGGGGTCGCAGGTGGCTCTACAATCGTTGTTGTAGCGGCCGCTGTGAAGAAAGATGGGGCCTGGGCGTCAGGCCACGGACGAGAACAACGATGCAAAAAAAAAAACAAATCAAGATTTCCAGCAAAATAATGAATAAAAGAACAATTAAAAAAAGAAGTGTCAAAGTCGACTTTATTACCTAATCCGTAGCCGCGAATCGAACCTAGGTTTTCTGCGAACCACTGAACCCACCGCTCTCCGCGTGCACGCGAGCGCAAGCATTCACACAGAGCTACGGGGGTCACTGACACAGAACACAGCGGCCACGAGCACACCCATTCAATTGATTGAGGAGGGCACTAAGGTTGTAGCAAAGGGCAGCCCACCAACACTCAACACTTTTAGAAAACAAAAAAACAACAATAACAGAGGACCCTTGGTGATCTTGTTAAGTCGAGGAGCAGGTAAATGAAAACCCAAAGTGGCCATATCCACCACCCCCCACCACATACAGACCCTCCGCCCCTCTTCCCCCTCCCCTCCGCCCCTCTTCCCCCCCACCCCGACCATGCCAACAGTGCAAGCCTCCCTCCCAACCGCCCACGAACCCACCCGCACACACAACAAAGACAACAATTCCCCGAAAAGCCTTAACAGACTGTTGGGGCAAGTGTGGTTAGTTAGCAGCACCGATGAAGGCCGGCACGGCATACGAGAGGATGGGTGGACAGCACCACACCCGGCCGCCTTTGTCTCTCCAGTGGTGATGTTTACACACCGCACCAGGTACTCATTTTGAGGCTGAGTCGACCTAGGAGAGGCCCTGGAACGGTTCAGATATTCGTCACTGGTGTTGGCCGTGAGCGGGAATCGAACCTGGGTCGACGGATTTGTAGCAGCAGGGCACGCTGACCACTACACTACCGCTCCCCACACCCGTCTACCCACCCACCCAAAGAACAAACAAATCGCTCACCACATTCACCAATAGCAGGAAACAAAAAAAACGCACGGTACACTGACATGTTGGGAAATGGACTGAGTTGTCGATGGGGGATCGTAACTTTACACCGTGGGGCTCTGGGAAAACTGGAGGGGTGACAAATGAACAGCTTGATTGATATAAATGTTTTTTCATCGGTGGATATTTAGATCAAACACACCCTTCAATCAACCATCCATAATTTACCCACTGTCGAATAGATGACATTTATTATCCAGACCAGCCCAATGTCGTGCTCCGTGGGGATTTTAAACGGTATTTTTTTCTCACGCCGATGGTCCAGGGTGTAGAGAGAGGGCACTTTCCAACATAACCTAAAAAAAATAATGTGTGTTTGTGTCACAATCCTGACTACAGATGAGACCCTGAAGCTCAAAACCATGTTAGAATCAGGCATGCTTTAATGAATGCTGCTGGATCACATAAGTCTGAAAGTCCACACGGCCAACAGACCAAAAGGAATAATAGTTTTACGTAGACATACAAAACGGAGGGGAACTGAATTAAGTTATTAGTCTGAATTAAGTTATTAGTCTGCGCTGCAGTGAGACAACTGCAGCGCAGAATTGCACTTTAAAAGCTTATGTAATTTTTATTTTGTCAATCAGCTGGATTTTTTCTCTCCTCCCGTTGCTCTCTACTGCCTGAGCTGAGCCGGCGAGTGGGAGCGGACAGAGAGGGAGCCGGCGAAAGATGGAGCGGGCTAGTCGGAGCGGGCGAGAGGGAGCGGGCGAGGGATGTCGACCTTTATGGCTCGGTCCGGGAGGCCCTCGCCGGCGGAGTTGCGCTTGTTGTTGGCCAGCGACACGTTCTGTTCCTTCAACCTCCCCAGCTCCTCCTCCAGCTTTGCACACTGAAGAGGGCGGGAGATGGGGGGGGGGGTGCCGCGGCAGGGAATCAAATACGTTTCAAATCAAATGCAGCCAGGGCTGCACTCAACTTGGCCAATGCCCCGACGCAGAAATAAACCTGGCCATGGTGGCACGCGCCTGCGACTCAGCTGTGTTGGGGCAAGCCCTGGTCGACCCGCTCGTTGCATCTCGTACAATCACGACCGTAAGCATAATGTGGACATGCTGATTATTCGAAGCATTGTAATGATTGGTTTTGTTAAACGTGGTGCTTACTTTCGTCACACCGCGCAATGTTAAATCTGAGCCGCAAGAACAGTCAATGCATACGAGATGGCGTGGCTACTGAGTGTGCAGGTGGTGCAACTGCACCATGGATTATGGTCCGGTACTAGGTTATGAAGCTTGAGGGGTGGTGGGGGGGGATTTGATTGTGGATGAGGAGGAGGGGCTCATTTCATCCCTCGCACCAGGGCCAATGTCGGCCACGCTGCGTCACCGCGCACAACCGCGCCGAAACGCCGCACTCAACGCTCCCAGATTTTCGCACAAACATCTCAACACCTCGCCCAATTTTGCGCAGGGGGCCGCTATGTTTCGAGGCGCAAATGCCCCAGCGATTCGCGTGGCGGGTGGGGGAGGTTGGGAGGGGTGGAGCGGACGGGGCGCCAGGTGGGCAACCGCCGCAGATGGGACGGCCGCCCGGCACTTGGGTGCGACGTTTGCCGGGGGCTGTGAGCTTCGTCGCTCCGCACCGCTTACAGAAATTCACTTCCTCCTGTCAAAGTGCGACGGCCTTAGCCAACCCACCCATCCTGCCCGCTCGCCCGTTCGTTCACAGAAACGGCCGACTCGCGAGCTGGGCAAGCTTTAATGGAACTGCCACGATAATTGCCTGGAACCTAAATAAACAATCAGCCTCGTCCCTGTAAAGCAGGGGTGGGGAATCTACGACGCGCGGAGGGGGGTGGGGGGTAGATACGACCCAGCGTCGCTTCAGACGACCCGTGGCCACGTCATTTGCGGTGCAGCCGGCAAATGATGTTTAGCCGATGCTGCAAGTATCGTAGCCGCACTCATCAAAGTACCAGAGGGCGGCGTGGCAGAAGTTACCGTGATGCGCGTGTAAACGAGCGCTTGACACAAAAAAATATTTTTCAGAGCCGTGGTCAACCCTGGGCAAGGCAGATATTTCCCAAACCCTGTTATAAATCCTGTGATTTGGAACGGTGTCTTCTCTTAGGGTTTAGTTAATCTCATTACATCTTCGATTTAATCCACATCTCTTCATTACAAAAACTCAAATCCTTTTTTTTTAAGATTGCACTACCCAAGGACTCTTAAGATTATGGAACCATTCTCTTTGTGATAAGAGGCTAGAATGGGGCAGGACCAATATCTAACCATGGGTCCGGTTTAGCACAAGCTAAATACTAGCCATTGCAGAACATCATGGGAGAGACCTTACATATTACCTTGGCTCATCTATGAGGGTTGATTTTTATGTTATGAGACTTTAAAAAAATCGCTATATACAATGGAAAGCATTAAAATCATATTTCACATTTTATGGTATACTGAATCTGAACAGTAAAAATACCCGTGTATTTGTTCATACACTTGTGACCTACCCTTGACCCAAAATAGATTTCTTGCATCATAAAAGGCATGCAAGGAACATAAGGTGCACACGACACTATTTGCGCTTGGTCCAAGTGGCCCCAGCTTCAGTCAGTGCCCAGTAATGATGATGACAAATCTGAGGTTTGAGTTATATAAGGGGACAGGGCAGAGAGGGTGAGGAGCAGAGCAGATCAAGGAAGGGGAGCGCTTGAAAGGAGACACCAATATTGTATGTATGTTGAACTTATTTCGCACCGTACGTATCCAACCGTGTTAATCGGGGTAAGGAATGGCAAGGTATGGAAGCATCAGGGCAGGGCAGGGCGGCCTTGGGGAGACCAGAGCAGGGAAGGACATGGGATTTTGGGTAAGAGAGAGGAGATCTGGGAAGGGCCGGGGAAATGACGGCAGGATCAGAGAAAATCTGTGAGGGCAGGGGAGATCAGGGAAGGCAGAGCAGAGAAGATAAGCGAAGGGCCAAGGAAATCACAGATGGAGGCAGGAAAGGTCAGGCAACAGGGCAATCAGACAGGAACATTGAAGATTAGAGAAGGGCAGGCGAGAAGGGGGTGTCATGCTGGGGATAGGAGGGCAGCACTACGAGGTTAGAGAGAAGGGCAGGGGGAGAGGAGGGCAGGGCTTGGGAGAGACAAGGTCAGCACTACGAGGTTGGAGAAGGGCAGGGGGAGGAGGGCAGGGGAGAGGAGGGCAGGGCTTGGAGGAGACGAGGACAGCACTACGAGGTTAGAGAGAAGGGCAGGTGGAGGGGAGGGCAGGGCTGACCCGTGCGAGGGCGCCGTCCCTCTCTGCAAGCACGGCGCGCATCTCCTCAGCGGTTATTCGCCGCGAGCGCTCGCGTGCCCGGGCGATGCGCCGCACGATGATGGCGCCGTCCTGCTCGATGGCCGGACCCGAGTCTGCGCTGCCGATCCGCGCCAGCAGCTCCTCCAGCGCCTGCCAGGGGTCACCGGCGAACACTTCGTTGAGAATCATGTCATCGTTATCATCATCCTCGTTGTCACCTTGTCATCTTTAGCATTGTCTGTTATTCTCATTGTTAGAATTGCATCATTATCATCGTCATAAGCAACTTTGTCATTGCCGATGGCAGAATAAGACCATCAATATCTCCGACAGCACACTAACACGAGAGGACCTCTTTCAGTGACATAAGTGACCGAGGACGTTAAAGTTAAAAACGGAGCGTTGTTTCCAGGTAAAAAATATGTCCCTCTGGTAACCCGATTAGTGTTGCCAAGATGCTTCCAGTGACATATACATATTGTGGTACGGGCCATTTCGCGCCGTGGAAGACCTCACATGGCCAAGAGCCGAAGTCGTGGGAAAGGTGTGGCTCACGGCGCCATAAATTTCCCACCGCCCGGTCTAGACACTCGGCGACTCTCTCCGAGTTAAATAAAGGGCGTTCCTATTATTATCATCGTCGTTATTAGTCATAGTGCGGCATTGCCCTATTACCCCAGGCGTGACCCTGAGCAAAGTTTTTCCAGCACTGCGGGAATGTGCGTCGCCTCTTTGTTTACCCGCGCCCACCTACAGCGGCGAGCGGAGCGACGGAGGGGGGCAATGGCGATAGAGTGCAGCGCGCCGTGCCCGCAGCACGTTGCACGGTCTGTGGCTTTTGTGTAACGTACCACATCCGAGTCCGTGAGCTCCTGGGGTTCAGACCTAGAGCAGACGCGCGCAGGGGACACACGGTTTGCGGGCACGTTTATTTATTTATTTACAATATTCCCCCCCCAAAAAAAGCACCGATTTGACAAAAGAGCGGCTCCTCGTATAAAAACGTGTTCACGAGAGTGCGGCCGCAGTCAATCGCGGCCCACGCCCTGCCACCCACCTCCCAGGGCGCATGTTCACGTTGACAATCTATTAGGGATGTGACTACTAAGGGGGGGGGGGGGCAGTGGGGTGCGGTGGTGTAACGACGCATAGATTGTGATCGACTAATATCGAATGTCCAGTTCACGATACTGGCATCAGGTCTCGTAGTGTACTAATTCGATGCTCTCATGTTTGCGGGCGCTGCGACTCATCGGTTTGGGGTGACTCGCTCCAGTCACGTGAGGCCGCTTACATTCACCACGATGTTAATTTAGTTTCAAACGCTCAATCAAATCACGACCCTGTGTAGCGACAATTCAATGAAATGGAAAGATGGATTTCTTTGTCTGATGATTTGGCACTGAAAGCACAAATGGAATATAACCACTGGAAAAAATATATAAAAAAGGGTATCAAACTTCCACCTTCTATTCTTGGAAACGGAGTTTGGACGAAGAGGTGAGGGGTTTTGGGGGTGGACATTTTGGGGGAGGTGAAGCGATGATGGAATGGTTTGTGCTGTACTGAAGCTATGAACCCGGCGATCCGAGTTCGATTCCCGCCCGAAGCTAACATCGGCCGGCGAGTAATATCGGAACCAGTCCCGGTCACACCGACCTCCTCCACCGTCACAAACCCACGACTGACCAGCATGGTCAAGTATGATCTATCCACCCCCATCACCGACGCGGTCTGGGGGAGGCCTTTGTCCATCAGTGGAGTGACGAAAGGATAGAGATTAGGGGGTGCTACAAATCATCCCCATGGCGATTCGATGAAATGTCAAGATTCACAGTGGCAAGTCGCCAATAAATGATCCCAGTAACTTGCTTGTGAATGTAGCGACCAGTAGGGCTGTATCAATGATGACACTGGTGAGGTTGGTGGTAGTGGGGGAGGGGGCGGTCATGGGGGGGCAGGTGGAAGGAGTTGGGGGGGGAAGTCACAGTGGCAAGATGTCAACTACCTCGTCTGGTGTACAGGAGGTCGTGGGTTCAATCCTGACCCTGAAGATGCCTATATATTTGGCGTTTGGATGTTCTCCCCATGGACGCGCGGATTTTTCTCGAGATCCTTTGGATTTCTCCGCCTCGTTTAGAGACATCCGTTTAGAGTATTTGGCTGCTATACATTTCCACTTGTTCAGCCACTTGCCGAGCTATCATTTGTGGCCAGGTCGCTTCTGAAAAGAAGCTACATAAGCTCCGTGGGCCATAGGGCCATACCTGGTAAAATAAAGTTTATAGTTTAGTTTAAGTTCTCCACGGACGGGGGACCCACGAACTCTTCCATGAGGGCGACTCGCCCAACAACGCAGCAGCGGATAGAGAAAAACAAGAGAGGTGGGGGGGGGGGAAACACAAACGCGCAGGAATGCGGGGTCTGAGCGCTCGGCAAACACTCCACACGGCAAGGTGTGTTTGCTCAACAAGGGCAGCAGCGGGCGGCAGGGTTGTGCTGCGGCAAGCCCCGAGTTTGCCCCCCCCCCTCGCACCCCCAACCTCCACAATACCCCCCCCCAGCCCCCCCCCCAACCCCCCACCTTGTGCGGGGAGAAACCACAAAAAAAACGTGGCCAGACACCACCGACGCTGCGGAATGCAGCGTCGAGAGCGGCAACCCCTGGCAAACAATGGGGGCCCGGCCACTTTTTTTTACGGCATTGGGTGGTGGTGGTGGTGGCCCCACCGTCGCCGCAGCAGCCGCCACCGCCGCTTGCTTCACCGGTGCCCACTAAGAGGCCACGCAGAGAATGAGGAGGGAAGGATGAGGAGGGAGAATGGGGGGGGGGGGGGGTTTACGAAGAGGCGGTGAGACGCGGGGCAAAACGAGGGTCACTCACAACGCTCGCTCGTCCAACGTGGATTCGCCGGGGTTTCTCCCCGCCACCCCCTCCCCCCCCAATGCATTGCTTTGCAAACCTGAAATCCCTCCGTATTATATTTTAATCCGAACAAGGAGCTTGCGCAAAGGTGGGAAACGAAACGCGCGGCTCTAACCTGACGACAAAGGAAGATGGGGCAGGAGAGGGAGGTCAACTAAGGGGGGGGGGGTGGGGGGCCCTCTCCGTGTCCTCGGGACAAAGGTTGCCGAACGTCGAGGGCTGAAAAAAAAAGTGACTTCGAACAGCTCGGCGTTCCCCCCCCCACCCCGCGACTCCACCCATAGTGCCCCCCCCTATAAAACAGATGACCTCTACTCTTATTAGGCAGACCGGCCAGTTGGACAAACACTGTTAAAACCTACAAAAGGTCTGCGGGTCACAGTGAAGTAAAAGAGAAAGGAAAAGTTGACCAAAAATAGCGACTGAAACCGGGAAAATCGCCGACCTTTTCTAACGGTTTGGCAAAAATTCACCCCCATCAGATCGCAGAAGCTAAGCAAGTTTGAGCCTGGATAGAACTTGGATTGGTGACTTCCTGGGAATACCAGTTACCGTACGTAGGCTTGGGCTGCAAGGTGACCCCATGATGGCAGGACAGCAATAGATTTTTGAATCCATCCGTGCGGAGCTCTGAGAATTTACCACTCCCTCCCCACTCTCACCTTGTGTGCAAGGATTTTCTCGAGGTTCTCCGGTTTTTCTCCACATACTCATTAATTTACTTGGTCAAACATTCCAATGCAGACCCCCTCTTCAACAAAGAGCGTTGAGACGCCATGAGGCTTTTGTTGGTAAATAAATAAATGGTATCTGACAACTATTTTTACCCGTGAAAGCTTGGGGGGGAGCGGGGGGGGGGGGGTCGGTGGGGTGGGGGCTGGTTTTCACTGAAAGTGTCTCTCTGGGGCAATGCAAGTGTGGGCGAGTGTTGGGTCGAGTTGAAATATCAGGTTGAGTGGATGTGAGGTTGAGTGGATGTGAGGTTGAGTGAGTGTGGAGTTGAGTGGATGTGAGGTTGAGTGAGTGTGGGGTTGAGTGAGTGTGGGTATAGTGAGTGTGGGTATAGTGAGTGTGGGGTTGAGTGGATGTGAGGTTGAGTCAGTGTGGCTTCAAGTGAGTGTGAAGTTGAGTGTGGGGTTGGGTGAGTGTGGGGTTGAGTGGGTGTGAGGTTTACCGTGGGGTTGAGTAGGTGTGAGGTTGGGCGAGTGCGAGGTTGGGCGAGTGTGAGGTTGGGCAAGTGTGCAGTTGCGTGGATGTGAGGTTGAGTGTGGAGTTGAGTCGGTGTGAGGTTGGGCGAGCGTGAGGTTGGGCGAGCGTGAGGTTGGGCGAGTGTGAGGTTGGGCGAGTGTGAGGTTGGGCAAGCATGAGGTTGGGCGAGTGTGGGTTTGAGCAGGTGACGGTGCAATTGAGCTTACAGATGAGCGACCAGGTGAGCACGAGTGTGAGAGGGCGAATGCAAGATTAAGTGAGCGAGGGAGCGTTACCGGAGGCGCTCCTCTTCCATCTGCCGCGCACGGAGGAGCGCATCGTCGCGCTCTTGCTGAGCCAAGCGCATTCGTGCCAGCACCGCGGCGTCTCGCTCCCTCTGTGCCACGTACACCTCCTGCACCAGCACTGCCCATTAAAAAAGACAAAGATCCCCCGTATAGCCTTAACAGACTGTTGGGGCAAGTGCTGTTAGCGAACACCTATGAAGGCCGGTACAGCACACGAGGGGGTGGGTGGCCAGCACCACGCTCGACCGCCTTTGCCTCCATTGTGGCGATGTCTTACACACCACACCAGGTACCCATTTGAGGTTGAGTCAACCTAGGGGAGGCCCAGGACCGGTTCAGATAATCGTCACCGGTGTTGGCCGTGAGCGGGAATCGAACCCGGGTCGCCGGGTTCGTAGCGCAGCGGCGCGCTAACCGCTACACCACCGTGTACGACACACAGACACACACGCGCCACACGGACACACACACGCCACACGGACACACACACACACACACAAAGCCCCCCCCCCCTCCCCATCCTCCCCCCCCGCCCACCGGCCGCCCTCTCGGCGATGCGCGCCTCCTCGGCCTCCTCGCGCAGCTCCGCGTCCACGGCCATCGTCTGCAGCTCTCGCTCGGCGCGACCCAAACGCTCTTGGAGCTGCGATGACGCGGGGTGGGGGTAGAGAGGGTGCGAGACACGGAGGGAGGTGGGAGGGGGCGACACGTCTCACTCCTCCGGTTCCACGAGCACTTGCTCGGACCCGGTCTATGATGGCCCAGGAAAGGGCCCTAATTCAGCCCCTGCCCCGCACAGACGGTGGGGTAGATGGCCCAGGAAAGGGCCCTAATTCAGCCCTGCCCCGCACAGACGGTGGGGTAGATGGCCCAGGAAAGGGCCCTAATTCAGCCCCTGCCCCGCACAGACGGTGGGGTAGATGGCCCAGGAAAGGGCCCTAATTCAGCCCTGCCCCGCACAGACGGTGGGGTAGATGGCCCAGGAAAGGGCCCTAATTCAGCCCCTGCCCCGCACAGACGGTGGGGTAGATGGCCCAGGAAAGGGCCCTAATTCAGCCCTGCCCCGCACAGACGGTGGGGTAGATGGCCCAGGAAAGGGCCCTAATTCAGCCCCTGCCCCGCACAGACGGTGGGGTAGATGGTCCAGGAAAGGGCCCTAATTCAGCCCTGCCCCGCACAGACGGTGGGGTAGATGGCCCAGGAAAGGGCCCTAATTCAGCCCTGCCCCGCACAGACGGTGGGGTAGATGGCCCAGGAAAGGGCCCTAATTCAGCCCCTGCCCCGCACAGACGGTGGGGTAGATGGCCCAGGAAAGGGCCCTAATTCAGCCCCTGCCCCGCACAGAAGGTGGGGTAGATGGCCCAGGAAAGGGCCCTAATTCAGCCCCTGCCCCGCACAGACGGTGGGGTAGATGGCCCAGGAAAGGGCCCTAATTCAGCCCCTGCCCCGCACAGACGGTGGGGTAGATGGTCCAGGAAAGGGCCCTAATTCAGCCCTGCCCCGCACAGACGGTGGGGTAGATGGCCCAGGAAAGGGCCCTAATTCAGCCCTGCCCCGCACAGACGGTGGGGTAGATGGCCCAGGAAAGGGCCCTAATTCAGCCCCTGCCCCGCACAGACGGTGGGGTAGATGGCCCAGGAAAGGGCCCTAATTCAGCCCCTGCCCCGCACAGAAGGTGGGGTAGATGGCCCAGGAAAGGGCCCTAATTCAGCCCCTGCCCCGCACAGACGGTGGGGTAGATGGCCCAGGAAAGGGCCCTAATTCAGCCCCTGCCCCGCACAGACGGTGGGGTAGCCCCTGAAGCTAAAAGCAGAGGAGGATAGAGGAGGAGGAGCAGGGGGAGGAGTGAGAGGATGGGGAGAAGGGTGATGAAGGGGGAGGATAAGGGTGGAAATAAGTGTGAGGAAAGATGAGGAGGAGGAGGCTAATGGGGAAGATGCAAAGGTTGAGTGATGAAGAGGATGAGGAGAAATGAAGATGGGTGACGAGCAAGATGATGAGAACGACGATGATGATAAGGAACAGGAGGAGGTTCAGGTTGAGCAGCTGAAGCATAAGGCTGACGATGAAAATCATGATTAGGTGGAGAAGGGATGAGGACGATGCAGATGATGATGAGGAGGAGGAGGAGAAGGGGGCGGGGCACCTGCTTGTTGAGTTCCCACGCGGCCTCCAGCTCGGCCAGCAGGAGTGGGACGTGCTTGTGGTGTCCTCCCGGCTCGGCGAGGGGACCAGCGTGGCTCCCGCTGCCCACAGGAGACGAGGTGACCGTCACTTACGTTGAACGTTTGTTTGATTTTCGTTTTAAACCCCCCCACTCCCCCCCCCCCCATCAACGCGTTGGCACTCAACATTCATTGACACGTTCATTTCAAAATGGCAAAGTCACGACATGTAATCAAAGCTGTTTCGCGCGAAAATTAAATCAGAATTGAATGATCGCGGAAGTATAAATGTGTCGTAACCCTCCACCACTCGACACAGCCAGTAACTTTTGTCACGTAAATAAAACACGTCAATTAGTTGCTACTAACCCAAAAACCTTTATTATTAATATTGGTCGCGAAGGCCTACTACACGTTAAACAGAATTGAAAGCTTGGCCATCGTGAATTCGGACAAGAGCAAGGTTAAAGAGGTGGGAGGGGGGTTTTGAGCGCAGATTTAAATCTCTCCACTTACGGATATTCCGTCCCTCTCTCTCTTTCTCCCCCATCTCTCATCCGACAAAGTCGAAGGGGAGGGTGTCCACAGGGTAGGGGGCCACAAATGTAAAAGTGCAAGCGTCCGAGGTCCTCAATCGGACCCTGGGAACCATCGGGCATCTTGAAATTGTCTTCATTCTCACTTTAAGCACACCATTCTCCTCTTTCCCCTCTCTGCCCTGTAGAATGATCACCCCTCAATTCCACTCCTCAGCAAAAAAACATCTCAACATTTCTTCAAAAACGGCCGCCCTCCCCCCTCCCCATTCGTATGCCGTCGACAGACGCAGTCACATTAAAAAGCAAACAGATGTGCAGACCCTGTATCTAGATTGAAAGCTCATTTCTTTAGAAATACTGTTTCTGTTTAGTTTGCTGTTCTTCCCCCCGCACCTCCGATTAGCACGGTTGGTTACGTGCAGTGCGAAAAAAGTTCAACGTACCCTAAGAGCACGCGCTTACAGTGACCAAACAAATAAAAAAAAACAGTACCCGCAAACCACGGATTCGCATTGCCAATCCCAGAATCCCCAACTCGCAGTCAGCACCTGAAGATGGACGATCGCGCGGCGATGACGGCAGACATGGCGGACGCTGCGTCGCCCACCGGCACTCCCGCGGAGGGCAGGCTGCGCAAATTCCGCAGGGAAAGCTTGCCTGGCGCGGCATGACCGACGGTCGCCACCGAGCCCGCCTGCCCGTTGTGGCACGACGGGAAACCGTTGCGGCGGCTCTCTCCGCCGGACGGGGCCTCGGGGTCGTCGCGGGCACTCGATGAAGCCGCCGAAGGAGTCGTCGTCGTGCTGGCAGGCGGCCGGGGAATCGAGTCCGGGGTGGTGGGAGACCGTTTCGCCTGCAAACGGAGTGGAATTTTGCGAACAAAAGTAGCGGGTAACTTATTCGAGAATGAACTGCTTTTGTTTTTTTCGTCAACGGCGAAGATCGTCAGGCGTGACGAGGACCGCGACCCACTGCCCACCAGAGATGGAAGCACGACCGGACAAAAATGCTGACCGAGATAATTTAGTCACGTTATTGGAGATGGCAGCTCACAGCGGAAAACCGAACATGGCAATGGTTATATTGAAACATTTCCCGGGTTCACCGATTGACCGATCCGATAACATTGAGGGGGGGGAAAACTGCACACCCCTCACACCAACATTGAATACATGTACAACCGCTGTAGGCGACTACGCTATGAGAATGCGAAGGTGAAGCCCGATGAACAGAATAACAAAAGTATGCGCACCTGCAGAGAGGTTCTCGGGAGCGGCCGAGGAGGGACAGAGGACGGCCCCGGTGAGAGTAGCCGGGATTCGTTGGTGCCAGAACTCGGTGAAGAAATACTGCGATCTTCCTCCTCCTCCACATCCTCGTTTTCCTCGTCCTCCTCCAATGATGAAGAACTAGAGTTGGGCCGTTTATCCAGTGGGTCCGATGCTCCACCACCTGGCGTTTGTGAAGGAGACCAAAGACAATTCTGCTCCATGTATCATGTACAGCCCTCTTTGTCAAACCACAGGCTGTTGGGTGGGAATTGTTAGCGAGCCCCTAAATTACGTAACACACCCGGACAGCCCTTTAGTGAATCCACTGCTAGATGCAGCCTCCCATCATGCCGTGCAGGGTGAAGGGGGTTGTTTGACCATACTTCACCATGCTGGTCAGTGAGGGTAGGCGAAGGCACGGCCCAACCTTGCTAAACTTTCGAGGTCTGATAAGAACATGTGATCTTTGGCAACGAAATGTTATTGAATCGATATTGATATGACGAGAGATTTGTGGTCAGCAGGGAGTGGTGCGGGGTGGGATGCCGGTCGCATGACAGGCCGCACAGCCTGTGAAGTGTGAGATCCATTGCCATTGTTAAGACAAGGGAGAATATATGTTCCAACAGATTCCTGATATTAGCAGTGTTTTCATTATTGTTTGAATTGGGCTTCCTCCAGAAGTGGTTTAACAAAGCGCTGCAAATTACTAATTACACGACTGTTTTATATTGCTGGGGGTGGTGCAGCGCTTAACGCACTGCACTGTTAACCCGGAAATCAGAGTTCAAATCCCAAACATGGCTGAACATTGGTATCAGAAGCAGTCCTGGGTACCTCCCCTCCCTCTTTGTCAACGGACCAGCATGATAAAGTATGATCAAACAACCCACATGGCCTACACAGTATGATTATGGAGACCTTCATCCACCAACGCTATAAAAACGAACAACACAGTATTATCTTATTTTAGCGAACCGCGCTTAAAACAATGCCCTGTTTATTGGTCACTCCTTCTGGTAGTTTTACAGCACAGTGCTGTGCTACTGCGGTTAATCCGACGGATGCCAGCACCAACTTTGGTGATGAAGTGGCATAAGGCTGTAAATTACCAATTATTATATACTTTAAAATGCTGGGGGGGGGGGGGTTATTGGCAACTCGCTTAATAATTCAAACACCACTTCACCACCACCGAGCTATGACAGTAGAACCGACAACATTTCCCCGGGGGCTGAGATTGGGGGGGTAAACAGCTCGCGGTAATTCGCCAAGGCTGCGCGTGCGTTTGCATCGCGCTGGTTTATAACCTGTTTGCACAGTCTGTGTAAACCCACTGTGTGTGTGTGGCATCTCCTCCGCGGGAGGCCCTCCGACGGCCAGCCGGCCAAGCGCTTCGCCCGTCAAGCGCTTCGCCCGTCCGTCAAGCAAACGAGAACGTCCGCGTCGCGGCTTAGCGAGTGTTCTCAAGGGGCGCGTGGTCTGGCGGAGGGGCGAGGAGAGGTGGTGGTGATGGTGGTTGAAGGTCCGGAATGAGAGCTTGCGGTCCACAGTTTACAAACAAGTGTTTTGTCTTTTTCCTCAACGTTATTCCGACTGTGCGATCACCGCGCATCACGAGACTAAACATTCACTTGGAAATCTCACAGAGCAGCGCAAGGTTGAGTGTTAAAGAGGATGGCCTGTGGAAGTGAGCGTCAAAGAGATCAATCCGAGATCCCTTCAAGGGACACCTAGACAATCAAAACCAAATTTTTTTTTTTTTGAATTTAGTCCAGGATCAACATTTTTCACGAAACTTTTTATCGTGCAGTCATTGGTGGCTGGGCTGAGATCAACAACTCGCAACTCGTTCCACCGGTTGCATCACAGGCAAGTGGTTGGACGCAGAGGATGTTGTCGGTGCCAGCTCGGGGCTCTGACCTCCGAGCCACCCCTACTGCAGATCCAAGCGAGAACGCTTTGCACTGCCCGTGAAACACGAATGCCGGTGGCCTCGCAGTGAGGGGAACAAACCACGTTTTTGGTCAGAAACGAGCCGCCTCAGTCAGTGAGGGGTGCAACCATTCTGATTATTGACCCAAATGAATCATCGATTACTACACAGTTTGGGAGAGTCCTAATCGCAGAGCAGATCATAATTCTGGAGGAAATGGGTAAAACTATAACCATCATCAGCTTTGTCACTAACACCATTGCCGCCAAGACCTGTAATACCACCACCACCTCAACAAGACCAAGACTTGTGCTCGGAAAGGCCGACTACGATGACTTTTCACCACAAACGAGCAACACATCGCAAAAACGGAGGTGTGAATAGCCGGCGTTGCTTTTAAAAATCTAAATTGCTGTGAACGCAACGACAATAATCACTACGGGTGATCGCTTCGTGTTTAAATCGTAACGTCGTTTTACTTCACACGGTGCACGTATTTAAAAAAAAAATGGGTTTTGTTCACAGCTCTCCAAAAAAAAATGCATTGTCAAAAACAAAACTGATGACATGTGGACTTTTCCACACGGGGGAGATTGCCAAATCGGCTTGACGAATAAAAATGTTCGCGCCAGCATGGGCGAGCCACATCACAAAAGGGCACCGACGAAGCCCTTATCTGGAAACATTTTCTGGGGGCTGGCTTTGATGTGCGAGCGGCACAATGGTACCCGTCTGGTCGCTGGCTCTGACAGAAAACCGAGCGACGGTCAAAGTCCGCCATGGCACGGCGACCGACCGACCGACCGGCCGGCCGGCCGGCCGTCCAACCGGGCGGGCCACATCCATCATCGTCGTCACACCAAAGAGTGCAGCGCCGCTTTCAATCAGCGTCCTCCGCTACAACTCCGAGAAACGCGGTGACATCGGAATTCCTGCTCCCCGCATTCGCTCGCATCATTTTTTTCCCCCTCCTGTATCAATCCCCCCCCCCCCCCCACACTCTCTCTCTCTCTGCGTCTCACTCTCTCTCTCGCACGCTCGTTCACTCACTAGAACCTCTACCCGTCCGCTCTCTCCGCTTTTTTGTTTCTCGTCTTGAGCAAACAGGGAGCGTGCCCCCCCACTCCCCCACCCCACCACTGCCCCCACCCTTCCAGGGCCTGTCGCCAGGAGCTCCCATTGCCGCGGTCCCCTGCCCAGGATACCGGCATTTTCGTCAGACGCAAGACAAACGCTCGGACGGCGTTCTTAGAGAATCGTGCTCCATAGCTGCGGGCCGGCCCCCGCCCGGCGCTGTTTACTTTCCCACTCGTGCTCGGCCTTCCCCGCATTGTGCGGCCGCCGCCGGGAGGGCCCCTTTTCTTTTCTGCTCTCGTTTTTTTTTCTCAGCCACTTTCGCGGTGTAATGACATTAGGAGGCAAAATCTGCGAAAGGCGCCGATTCAAAAGTCACTCTTCTCGTCCATTATCATGGAAACTGTTCCCTTTGGTATTACTTGAACGCTAGTTGACTTTTCCAAACTCGAGGCACAATCGCAAACCCCGGCAGAAACTATTTATGGGCAGTGGCGGCGGCAGCGGTGGTGGTGGCGGCGTCTCACGAGGGAGAGAGATTTAAACGCAGGCCGCGCGACCGCCGCATGCACTCCCCGCAGAGCACGGCGCTTCCAAAGTAAACGCCAAATTGAAATGCGGACCAGAACTGTTATTTTGTCAGACACCAGTGCGACGACATTAGCTGCTGCTACTGCCTAATTATCTATGTTGTGGAGATGAGTTTCAGACAATGACTTTTTTTTTTTTGAATTTTAGGTAAAAGTTAAGATTTTGCTTGGATTTTAACAGCTTACATTTTATTAACGTAAATTTTTGATGGATTAATTATAATACATTTAAAAGTTGTAAACGTTGATCGTCGAATTAAAATTAAAAATATAATTTTTTTTGCCATATTTCAAATATCTCAAGCAAATTTGACATGACGAATCGTAAAAATGTCGTCATGTGACGGCCCTTTTGAAAGGAAAAGCAAAAAAATTCCACCATGGAAGTGACATCACAGTAAGTGACGTCATGTCCTGTGATATCATGTTTTCTGATCAATCCAAAACAAACATTTTTTTCAGATGATCTGAAATTTCATATCTCGGCCATATTTTAGGATTTTTTTTTAGATTCATCTGAAAATGTGCAACATGTCCCTACCACATTAGTACATCGCGGAAGTGCAACGACAATGCATCAACGCTTTGTCGTTTAGACTTGTGGTGTACGAAGGACGACGTTCAATAAAATATTTTCTCGCCACAAGCCCACGTCCGGGTCCAAACGCAGACATTCTCGCGTGGCAAATGTAGCCCCCTTTTTCATAAAGACGTGAACAACAACTGCGTGTTTGTTGTGGCTCATCCCCGCAGGTCGTTCTAATTCAGTCGGCAATTGTTTGCGCCTCAGTCGCGCGTCAAAAGCACCCTACATGGGCAGAGGGAGAGAGGTAAAATCAACTTCAGAATCTAGCACAGCATCCAACCGCTTTCATCCACATGACCAGGTGACGGCAGACAGAGCGGCTCGTAATCGGAAGGTTGCGAAATTCGAATCCTGGTTGGGGGTTGACTCGTTCCATAATTCCATCCAGGGTTAGTAAAAATGAACACCAGTTAGTGGGGAAGTCGCCCGTCATTGTCCCTTGGATAGATGTGATGAACGTGGAATTTCCCCGACTAGTTGTCGGGGAAAGAGCTCATTTGAGCCGCAAAATCACTTAAGAATTTGAACGCAATGTCAACCTTTGTCTACGCCACGCCAACGACCAGATGGGTACGAGCGGAAATTTTTCAAATGAACAATACTATTTTTTTCACGTGCATATATATACACATTTACAATCAAAATGATAAATGGCACAATAAACAAAACCATGCCGTTTTAATTCCGGGTGATTAATGTGCGTTATAAACATACGTGGTTGGCAGCTGACACGTGACTGACGCATGTAATATTTGGGCACACATTGGCTGACTGCTCTGGATTGGAAATGATAATAATATCTTGACAGGTCCAACTAATTAAACCCGTCTGCTTATCTCTTCAATACGCACACATAGTTGAGGCTCATGGGTGAGGAGGTAGGTCGGTAGGTAGATGGGCAGATAGGTAGGTAGATTGGTAGATAGGTAGGTAGGTAGATTGGTAGGTAAGTTGATAGAGAGGTAGGCAAGTGGGTCAGAAGGTCGATAAGCATCTAGGTAGGTGGGTAAATAGATGGGCAGATAGGTCAGGAGATAGGTTGGTCGGGAGACAGGTAAGCAGATAGAAAGGCAGTGGGTCACAAGGTAGGCGAGTAAGTACTTGTCAGTGGGTAGGTGGATCAGTAAGTTGATAGTTCCATAAGTGGGTTGGTAGACAAGTAGGTCACAGTAGGCAGTTTGATATGTAGGTAGACATGGACATATTTTTTTAAGCATCCACATGATCGCACGAGTGAACAACACCAAAACAACTGCGGTAAAAGGTGGCGCCTCTTACTCGCTGCGCCGACGCTCCCCTCCTCATCGCCAAATGACTTCCCTATATCCGTGGTCTCCGGATCCATGCGCGAGGCCGCGATCGTCCTGCATACATCACGACCCGGGGCACAGGGAAATTCCGCGTTAGTCTACAAACCATAACGTCCAGCAAGCGACTCTCCGTCCAAGCGAACGTACCACATCGTGCAGACTCAAACGAGTTGTATCGCCACATGCCTGCTGGTTCAATTACTGCAAGGGTTGTGCATTGCTTGTACACACACACAGGTGGCAGATTCGGCTGGTATGGACCTCTATTCGAGTCTGTGGGTCTCTGTGCGAGTCGAACTGCGGCAAAGTGCGATCCATCGCTCACATCATCAATCATTGCCCCCGAACCATGCTTTTGCAGGAGGTACAAACGGAATGCATCTGGTGATCCCAGACGACGCCCCCTTCGATGGCTCTCCACACTCAACACGTAGCTTATAAACCCCCCCCACTTCTTTCTTTCTTTTCAAATGCCACATGAAGGAGAAGATTGCTTGCACACAGATGCAAGCCAAACAAAGTATTGAAATAATAACTCGCCTGTGGGACGCTAAACGGAAATAGATTTCTGATGAACCCCGTGCATTTTGTTTCTATTTCGCGGGGAAATTCAAATCGATCGCTCGCTCGATGACATCCCCGAGACCGAGCTGTACGAATTAAAAAGGAGGGTGGTGGTGGGGGGGGGTGGGTGGGCAGGGGCAGACAGCACGCAGATTTATTATCCCCAACGTTCGAGTCCCATTGAGGCCGGCGCCGGCATCGCCAGCAGTGCCAGGCACCAATCCAGGGTACAAGGGGGGTGCTGCTGCTGCTGCTGCTGGGAAGCCGGCGTTCCGGCCGGCATTCCGGTGGATCGTGTGAAACACGCGCGGCCGGCGTGTGATCGCGCACATGGCCCATTGTCCGATGAAATCGTCGGACGGAGGTGACCGCCCCTCCGACAACGACGGCAGCTGCTGCCGCCTCTTCTTGCGTACGGCACAACGGCCACGGCCAAGCATACGTCCGTTCAATCGTCAATTCATTCGTTAACTCCATTTAAACCGAGTCAGAGGCCGTTATCATCGATGTTGGCAACGATCAGTCTACTGCTCGATGAAGGCTTCTCCCCAAGCCATAGCCCATCTCTCACGGTGCTGCTACGTAAGTGATCAGTCTGGCGCCTGTAGCACAAGCCAATTTCATCGCTCCGTTTCCTGAGTGGTTGCCCTCTTTTAAATATGCCATAAAAAATTAGAGAGACGCAAAGTTATCTCGTGTATAAGAGCATCACCGCAAAATGACATATACAGATTTGGTGTTGGATTCGAGTTGGAAGTATTAATTTCATTATTAATCTTATTTATTTTTATATTCTCTATATTTTTTTAACTGTTTAGCCTATCGCTGACACAGGAATGACAGCAAAAGCACTATTTGCTGAAGATGTCGGCTGGTTTAATAGCCCTTTGCTGATGATGTATGACGATCGATCGACTGCGATTGCCAATTATGGCCAAATAACTTATTGAGATTTCACCGACAGTAAAGCAAGCCTTCGTGTAAAGGGGCGGATCCATGGAAGCAAATACCACAGAGCTACCTCCGAGATCCCTTCAAGTGACATCTGATCCACAGGGTGAAATTGGTCAAATAACAAATAATGCCAGATTTAGGCATAAGTGAAGCTACAGCTTTGGGTCTCACATTACGAGGGAACCTCTAAATTCCAAAAAGATAAAAAAAATAAGTTTCAAGTTTTACATAATAGGTTGAAAAGTAAAGGCGATAAGGAAAAAAAAAAGACTCTTAAAAAGGTTATTTTCATTCCAATATGACAAAAATATACAAGCAATCCTCGATTTACGAATCCTAAGCTTGACATAGCTTTAGGGCCCCAGCAAGTCATAATCCGGCCCCGATTACAAAAAATGACAATTTTCAGAGCTGGAATTTCGCAACGCAAGTGCCGAACCAAATATGATGCAATGTTATTTTTTTTGTGTCTGTGTGTGTGTGTGCTGTTGTTGGGTGACCGGACTGACGCCATCAGTTCGAGACGCCCGACACCCCGGTACAAATCACGGGGGGCGTACGCCACCATTTCGAATATAAATGGTCCCACAGTGGCTCTGCCCTTTGACCCGCGGACCAGCTGGCCCACCTCGCGTGTCACTTTTTTCTTTGACTCACGGCAGAGCGAGCGCGGCGAGCTCGCGGGCGAACTGCCGGTGCGACGCGATCTCCCGCTCGGCCTTGCGCGGTGACGGCTTGGAGCAAGGGCTCAGCCTCTCCCGCAGCTCCTGATTCACCTGCGCGTTCCCTGTGTGCGAGAGGCGCCCGGGGACGGACTCGTGAACGCTCCTCCGATGAAACCACGGCATTTTACACTTCCACAAACGAAGACGAGTTATTGCTTTACACAACCCATCGGGCCCCACGGCCTTCTGGGAGTGAATCATTTCAGCAGCAATGATTCAGTACAAGAAAAAAAAACTCTGGGCAGGTTTCGACATTACAGTGTCTCATCAGCAGTAGTGCTTGCTTGAATCAAGTAGTTCATTGAAATCAGCGCTCCCTAAGTCGTGTGTGACACACAAAGATTCCCCCCCCCCATATAGCCTTAATAGACTGTTGGGGCAAGTGCTGTTAGTGAGCACCTATGAAGGCCGGCACGGTAAACGAGGGGGTTGGTGGCCTGTAACACACTTGACCGCCTTTGTCTCCCTGTGGCGATGTTTACACACCACACCCGGTACTAATTTGAGGCTAAGTCGACCTAGGGGAGGCCCAGGACGAGTTCAGATATTCGTCACTGATGTTGGCCGTGAGCCGGAATCAAACTCGGATCACCCGGTTCGTAGCACAGCGTGCCAACCACTACACTACCACTCCCCACTTCCACGCACACACACCTGCAAATACACACAGACACCTCCGCTTAGCACAGTTGGCTACATACGGTGCGAAAGAAGTTCAATGTACAAAACCAAGTCGCCAAACGCCACTAAGTGGCAGTGACGTCACCACAGCACTGTGCCAAGTCAGGTGCACGTTGAGGCATACAACGTACATACACGAACAAAGATTCCCCATTTACAGGATGTTTGGGCAAGTGCAGTTACCGAGCACCTATGACGGTCGGCCATGTCATGCAAAGGGGTGATGTGGCCAGAACAAGACGAATGGCTGCATATATTACCATTATACATTCAATCTGGTTGCGAGCTTCATTCGGTGAAATTGTATCTGAGAAACTAAAATGATCGAATGAGCATCATTCTCAGTGGCAGTGGGGGGTGGGAAGGTGCTGCCCTTCTCCTCTGTCGATCAGACGTCACTTCCAAGTGTTTTCGGAAGTACCTCTGCAATATCCACTTCCACGGGCCATGCTCTGCACTGCCCTGCGACAGATTTAAATTGAATCATTCATCTCATAACAAGACAATGAGAGCACTTGGTATAACACTGGTGGAGGGGGGGGGGGGGGAGGTTTTTTAAATATTAAAAACAAAGATTAACCCGGCTGCTTAGCCAGTTATCTAACCAAACAACATACAGCCCACCCCGTGCAACCCTCACCCAAGACGACCGACCGCCGACTCAATAACTTCCCACCCACTCGCCCACCTGGCCTTACACTGTGCACAGGTCACCCCTTATGACAATAGGGGCCCACCTCTAATCTTGACAAACACGAGAGTGATCCTTTATGTGGCGTGTTTGTCCAGAAAGACCTCAACTGAGTCACAGGACTCTCTCTTTCTCAGAAAGTTCACCTTTTTTTTCTTCCCACGACTCAGAAATGAGCTAAATGCTCGACACGTCTTAGGGAGGAAGAAAAAAAGTTGCTCAACATGAACCTTACATCAACAGTGGCAACATCGACAACATGGGGGTGGGGGGGGGGCATGTCACAATCGCCCCCCCCCCCCCCCCAAAATCAATCGACGAACTGTCACGGCTCAAGGATCACGACTTGAGTCAAGAATCAAATTATCTTACGTCTCGTTTTTACCGTTTGGTTTGGATCGTTTCTCTCTTTTACCTCGCGCGTACCGTTTCATTTTATCCATCGCCGAATGTAACAATAGCCTATGATTGCCTTGTTTTCCAATCAAGAGCAGGTTCATGGATCAAGAGCTCCCATCATCCCATCGGATGACACTTCCCCTCTCTTCACCTCAAAGTACCACAAGTACTCAACTGGGATTGTACACAGCAATCATCATCCCCCGACCGGCACACCAATGCCCCAGGGCACTCTTGCAAATGACTCATCCAGGTCTCTTGGGTTCTGGCCTGGTTAAGCACCTCCGATTAGCATGGTTGGCCACGTATGGTGCGAAAGAAGCTCAACATACATATATACAAAATAAACTTGAACTTAATAGTACAGCTTTTGGGCCTTAACTGACTGAATTCCTGTTGCCTACCTCAACAGTGCTGTATAGGTGACACCAACTCGAACATAAGAATATCATTTGCATCAATCGTAAGCAATCCAATGCAGCACGCACAATTCTACACGAATATCATGATAATTGTTTGCTATCGACGAATTGGCACTTGCCTCCAAAAAACTCTAAAGAACTCCACGCACATCGCAGAGACAGCTGAAGCAAATTATATTAGGGGCTGCGGAGTACACAAGGGAGTGGGTATGACTATCACCACAGACACTCAGCCACCTTTGTCTTCCCAGAACCGATGCTTACACACAACCCTCACATCCTGCTGCTGACCTACGAGTCCCCCAATGCGTTAGCCCCACAATATTTGCAGGAACCGATCCATGTTCATACGCCAACGATGCCCTCGATCTTCGGATCCTTTTCTTCTAAGTGCTCCCAAGGTCACGGCTCTGTTTCTAATGGTGATGGGGCTTTTGCCACTGTGCAGAACCCAGCCCATGGAATGCTTTGCCTTTGGTAATACAACAGTCGTTAGAGTTATTTCAATCTGTCTTGAAAACTTTTTAAAATTGGCCTTCGCGACCGGGTTCTGACCGTTTACCCTGGTTGTGTATTTCCTGCATTCCATACACAGGGCGCATTGGGATCTACGGATGAAACGGGCCTTATAAAAATGTACGTTGTTGTTATTATTATTATTAACCTACTTCCTCATTTTAGGCCAAAGCGACTGAAATGGAAGTCGAGACCAGATTCAGATACCAATTATAAATAGGACTGAGTGAAAGGTACTGGGTTGGAATCTACGTGGCATTCATCGCCCCGCGCTGCAAAAATGTGCCGGGACTCTCCTGAAAGTGTTTCACGAGACTCGACGAGGTTTTCCCTTGGGTAAAAAGAGAGTAAAAATTATAAAGACAGTGGAAGTTTTGACAAAATGTCTTAACTGTTGACTAACACTGCCCTCTACAGATGCAATTTTATTTTACAATGTTACCAATGGACCTGCATGCACGACCCAACGTTAAAAGTTTTAATACTTGTTCTTAAACTGCTTCAACACAAACTGGGTGGTTAATGTACAGTCATTAAGATAATATAATGTAACATTCACAAAAGCATATTCTTAGCTCTTTCGGTAAAGTCACGTTGTAGGGAAACAATAAAATATATATAAAACAGTTTAACATGTAGGCTTTTTAACATGAATATATAAAACAATAAAAATTCTCACAACGTTTCGACCATAACACAAGCGGTCGTCATCAGGTGTGTCGGTTTGCATTAATTAATGCACACCTGATGACGACCGTGACGACTGTTTGTGTTATGGTCGAAACGTCGTGAGAATTTTTATTGTTTTATATATTTTTTATTATTTTATTGTTTCCCTTCAACGTGACTTTACCGAAAGAGCTAAGAATATGAATTACTGCAGTCACGAAAGCTTTAAATCAAAATTCACAAAAGTGTCATCCACTATCAAAGAACCATGAGACACTGCAAAGACGGGGGTGAGGATATCGGCCCACGTGCACATCCTAGAAGGAATTGTTACATCCTGAGACCATGAGACAGCGAAAATCTTGGAAAAAGCCTTGATACAGCAGTGGATTGAGCATGGCTTGAAGAAAACGTCTTACCATCCTCAAAGACTGGCCACTAGTCCTTTCTAACAATTTCGTGATTCAATCAATTCGCGATCACAACTTGTCTCAATAATCCACTAATAATCGTGTTGTGATGCAAGTAGCAACCGCCAGTGGAATCTCGACCGAGGCAATTTCATCAGCTCTAACGTGTACGTGAATCGAGACTGGTTACGGAATGGCAGCCAAATGAGAGAACACATCTACGAAGACGATTAACGTGGATTTTGAGCGTTGAGATAAGAACAATATAATTACCGATATACACAGGAAAGCCACATTGAGTCGAAGGACTAGGAGGGTTCTGCAAGTGGGTTTTTTTAAAACATGTCTTCAGCCATGTACGAGTGTTTATTATACCTGTAGGAAGAAAACCAGAGCACCCAAGAAACCCACATATGCAATGGAAATGGATTGAAATTAGTCCACTTGCTATACTGCCTTCTCCTGGAAAAACCAGGAAATGGCACCTCCGTAACAACACCCCACGGGAACGGGAGTTTCGCAACATTCGTGCGATTCACCAACCGTCGCTGCCTCCGCAGCGCTGGATGTCAGGCCATGTGCATGGAGCCACCGCCACCACCACCACCGCCCAGTTAAGGTAAAACACCGAGTGTCGTGCATGCAGCTGCGAGGTCTTGCCTCTGTAGAGGTCGAGCAGGGTGCTCTTGAGCTGTGCGTTCTGACTCTGCAGAGCGCCTGTCAGCTCCTCCTCCTCCTCCAGCGCCACGTCCCTGCACAACACGGACAGACGCTCTTGCATTGCGCGCACCGCACAATCCCATCCTGACTCGCCCGGCCGATCCCCAGCAGGTCCCGCAAAACGTCTCGAAGAAAGGGTGAGAATGGCGCGCACGCGAACGTGTGTGTGTGTGCGCGTTTGAGACGAGTGCCGTGGTGATGTCACTGCCACTTGGTGGCGAAAGGCGGTTGTTGTTGTGTTTGAGACGCTGTGCTTGGCGCACTGTTCGTTTCCCAGCGATGGCAAACATCGGCGGGCGAGTGATATCGGAACCGGTCCGGGTTTTGTGATATCCGGCGCCCATACCTGGTACGGTGTGCAAACATCACACTGTGAACGTTCACTTTTCCCAGCACGGCTTTTAGATGAGCAAAGGGCAATTCCGCTTGGAAATTGCACAGTGCAGACAATGGGACAATCAACATCACGGAAACTTTCTCATTCATTATTGACGGGCTCCAGCGATGTGGCTCGCTGCACAATGGGCTGCTGCTGCAGGTGCTTACCGCTACCACATCATGGCAGCTGGAAGCAGCAAAAATTTGCAGGCATTATAACCTTTCACCCACACCTACCGGCAAGCACCAGCGATTCAATAAAATGTCATTATTCAGGTTCGAGAATTGACTGTAGAATTGGTTATTTTTTGCCTCATTTTGCTGCCTCTGTGGTGCACTGGTTTTCACACTGGACTTGATAATCCAGAGGTCAACGGCTCGATCTCCCGGTGCAGCAGTTGAAAGAATGGTGCCAGATTCTTAAGTTGCCCTGGCCCTATCCACCTCGCAGTGTAGATGGGTAACACCACAGTTAGGTTTCATATGTTGGTGTACAATGAGGATACTCATACTTCTTACAAAATATCTGGCCAGTGTGGAACTGAAGTAATTTTCTTTTTTACCAGATAAGGCCCACTTATCTATACAGCTCTTAAATCTTGACTTAAAGATTTCGTGACTCAGGAATTCATATTCTTGGGTCTTTCGGTAAAGTCACGTAGATAGTTTACAAGAAAATAACAAAAAAATAACAAAAAAACGACTTTTCAATCGCAACAGAAGAGGTCATCCGTCTCATTATATATGGATGGCTTCATGAACGAATCTTTGTTGATGGCCAGTTGACTTGCAAAGTACCTTCGTCTTTGAGAAATCAATTTCGTGTGAGCCCACCGCATTAACACAATGATCAGCCACGGCCGAGGTATTGGTCCTACCGTATTTCAGATCTGCCTTATGTTCACGAACACGGTCCGAGACATGTCGCTTAGTTTCCCCAATGTAACTACTGCCGCAGCTTAATTTTGAGACGCCAGGGTATTGCATGTCAGGGATTACATCCTTCACAGATGGGAACAGATCACGAATTTTATGTACTGTGTTAAATCGAATATGGATTTTGTGTTTGCTCATGATTTTGTAAACAAATTTTGTGACCCCTGCAATGTATGGCAAGGTGATGGTTTTGATTGGGTCCTCAGATGGTTCTTTCCCAACGGTTGGAGTGATAGCTTTACGAATTGTGTTGTCTGAATATCCATTCATCTTGAGAGCTTGGTGTACGTGTTCCAGTTCACTGGCTAGGTGATGACTGTCGGAAATACATCGAGCTCTATGGTGTAGAGTTTTAATGAGGGAATTCTTCTGGGATGGATGATGGTAGGAGTCAGGTTTAGGTAGGCATCCGTATGGGTGGCTTCCTTTAGACAGTGTCCCATTGAGCCATCTGGTCTCTTTTCAATTACAACATCCAAGAATGGTAACTTGCCATCCTTTTCCACCTCCATGGTGAATTTAATGGCTGGGTGTATGGAATTGATGTGGTCGAGGAATTGGTTCAGAGCTGGTCGGCCATGTGGCCAGATGACGAACGTGTCATCTAAGTGCCTCTTCCACAAAGACGGACGTAGAGTGGATGCGTAAATGGCATCCGTCTCAAATTTTTCCATGAAAACATTGGCTACAACTGGAGATAAGGGAAAACCCATTGGGGTACCTTCAACTTGTTTGTAGAATATTCCATTCCAGGTGAAGTAAGTGTTGGTGAGGCAGTGTCTCACCAGGGCCGGTACATTAGCATTCAGTCCTTGTTGGACCAAATCTTCAATGATTGCAATAGTATATTCTTGGTTCTTTCGGTAAAGTCACGTAGAAGGGAAAGTCATGTAGAAGGGAAATAATAAAATAAAACAATATGTTTTATTTTATTATTTCCCTTCTACGTGACTTTACCGAGAGAACCAAGAATATGAATCCCTGCAGTCACGAAAGCTTTAAATCAAAAGATTTCAATGGTGTCAATCACAGGAACTTTGGTAAACAAAGAGACCACAACGAAACTAACGAGCAAATCACCTGGAGATAGTGAGATGACCTTAATTAACGATACCAAGTGAGCTGAGTTGAGTACAGCTGAGGTGGTCAAACCAGTGAATGGTTGTAAGATCTCAGACAGAAATCGGGCCAGTTTGTAGGTCGGTGATTCAATGGTGGAGACAATAGGACGAAGGGGTGTCCCTTCTTTATGGATTGTTGGTCAGCCATACAAATCTGGGTGGTCTAGCAGCAGTGGGTTTTAAAAAAAACGCTTGGTTGGTTCGATCAAAGATGTCGAATCAGTGATGATATTGTTGGTTTTCGTAACGAGGCGGTTGGTGGGATCTCTTTTAATTTTGGTATAGCTACCATCATTAAGTAGGTCCCGAATTATTTTATTTTCTTTGAACCTATCAGGGTGACTTTACCGAAAGACCCAAGAATAGTAATTCCTGCAGTCACGAAAGCTTTAAGTGAAGATTGAACATTTATACATAGTTGCAGCTCTCGTTTCACGTAAAAGTGTTTTTCTTTTTCTTCGAATTAATGAGGTGACACCGCATCCAAGATATCATGAGCTCATCGCCGTACATCGCCATGGGTTCGAGGCTCACGACCGGATCGCTGCCGGTGCCACCAGCTGCCCCAGACGAGAGTGAGGAAACGCTCGCCGGGAGGAGGAGCCAGCGACGAGGTGCATTTCAGCTGGGTAGTTGGGAGCGCGGTAACATTTTAATAGTGGCGGCGGATAAAGGACGGTACACCGACATTTGCACAGCGGCCACATCGTGTTTACCCCGGCTGCAATTGCGAAAATTATAGCGATGGCTGAAGGCGAATGTCTACTTATAGCTGTTAAAACAATTACCTTTGTCAATTTGCACAACTACTATAAATTGAATCTAAATTGGTATATATTTTTTTTTAGCAAACAGGCAATGCTTTTCAAAAATAAATATATCTTTAGGGAATACAATCAACTTCACAATAACATATGATTAGCTTGATATTTTAGACAGATTCTTTTGAATAAATTATTTGTTTATGTATCGAATGATGTGTATGAGAATCGATTATATATACGATTGGTGCTAATTGTATGATTAAAGCAATACAAATATCCACGTGTTTTTATGGAATATTAAAATGTTACATTAATTTCGTGAACCAAACTGTAGAAAACACAGAAAAATAAAAACAATACAAACAAGATGGTAAAAAAGCCAAACTAGGCGACTGTCGAATTCAATCGCAACGTGGAGCTTCATCGTATCACTGGGGGGAGTCCAATCAAGATGTCGAATCGGAACCTTTCCGCTTAATTACGCAGCCAACGAGGGCGGAGGCCAAATTCCACTTCGTCCGATTTCGCGACGAATTTAAACTTTTTCCACCGGCACAACCGGTGGGGAGCGGGGAGGAAGAGGCGATGTCCATGGCCTCTGCGAGGCCCTGCGAGGGAAACAGGGCGGCAGGGACCCAGCAAGTCGTGGCGTGTCCGGCAGGAGAGTGCGGCCCACTCGTGCGCAGCCAGGCATGTGTGGAGAGAGCACGTGGTGCGTGGCTGCAACCTGTGAGCGCCACATTCCTGCCGTGCTATGACAGCAAGAGCGACAATGCGTCGGCTGCTCACGTAGCCACGTTATCCAGACTACGTGAAAGCCAGGAGGCTTCCCCCCCGCTCCCCCGACACGGGGTCTCCACTTGGATGGGGCATCAGGCCCAACTCTACCCCTCCTAAGTATAGTCCTGACGCGGCAATGGGCAACATCCACGGATTTTCTGTCCCTCTCCTATCGGACACCGCAATACAACATTAAAGCAAGGTGGCTTTCTTTAGAAATAAATACAAATAAACAACTGATCATCTTCTAGCGCTCCAAATGTGTTTTTGGGTTGTTACCGCGTCGTTGTTCGACGCTGTTGAGCAGCCACACATTGTCCCTCGATCACATATCGTTTGCCAGCCCCTGTTGGTGTTAATTTAGTCCCAGAAGCTCGCAACGGGTAGAGCGAAACGTCAGATATCGTGCTGATCAACGAGTGGTACCACCTGAAAATGCATCAGAGAGCTGAACGGTACAACTGCCAAAACCAGTGTAGATTTTTTTCCCTTTTTTTTGCTCAATATTATCCCAATCGTACTCTCAGTGTCAAGGTCTGAAAAGCAAACCACCCGCTTCAAGTTGCGATCTTTTACAGCCACCTGTTTAGACTTGCCCTGGTTGTGAAGACATGGGACCTAAGCCGTTTTTATGGCAGGAATAATTTTCTGTTGCATTACACCGACGTGGGTGTGACGTTGGGGGGCAAGCCTGCGATCGAGCGACATGAAGTGAAGGGCTGGAGGATCGCCGAGATGGAGCCTGAAGACGACAGTGGAGCAAGTAGGCTGCCAACATATTTGCAGAGTTTGAAGTGCCATCCTCTCGCATGCGCAATATTTATCCGGACACTTAAGTTTCCTCCCATGTGCATCAAAGTCATTCGGCTAATGAGAAGAATTGGTCAAACATCCCAATGCAGGACCTTCATGAAAAAGTGTCTTGAGACTCAGTCATGAATTTATGGATAAAGCTGTTTTTCTGACTGCAGTATTCTTATTATTATTCAACTCCTTCAAAAATATAACATTACCATTATCAGCCAAGATCGATCCACAGTTACACTATCAGGTTCAGGAGCTTTCCCTTTGTCCTGCTATCAAGGGTAGCGTTCACTTCTTCAGGTGTGACATATACAACTTCCTTCTGAGGAACCGGTTGAATTCTATGGTATTTTTACTCCAAATTTTCCCACGATAATTTTGAGATTAATTGCCTGTCATGCTGATGGTTCCATCTTTCTCACAAGGGCCACAATTTGTTAATTGAAAATCACAATTACCTAGGTTTTTTCCTGTCGTGGTGAATATATCTCTCCTATGCGCAAGCCTGGTCATACTGCGCCGTGTAAGGGCATGGTGTCCAACGTTTCACTTGCTGCTTTCATGCCCCCGCCGCTTGCAAAAAAAAACCCCACCGAATGGCGTGTTACATATGAACGGCGTTCATCACTCCGATACAACAGCGGGAGTAAGAACACGACACCCCTCCACACATCACCAAGCAAAACAATTTTGGCCTAACTGCCATAACAACCTTGGGTCAAATTTCTCCCAACACAAAAAAAATCAGAATGCGGAGGAGATTAAAAAAAAAGGATGTCAAAATGTTTTGAACATGCCCGGCAAGCGAAGCGGGAGGCAGAGTTTGTTTACAGTTTACTCTGAGCCATTCAGACCTGTGAAAGCCCAAACACAAACCGTGTGAACACGACGGTGCCGTGAAAGTTAGTTGTACGTACGATATGTCATGTCTGGCTCGCCCACTCGGCACTCCCGAAAGCCAAGGAACAGGGCAAACATATATCTTACTAGTTGGCTGTGTCGGGTGGTGGCGGGTTTTAACGACACATTGATATATTTACGCGATCTAAACAGAAAAAAAACCTCTTATGAATATATCCTGCTGTTATGCACGTACTATATTATGAACACAGATGTATCACATTACTGCGGTTTCATTTACGGTGGAATATCACTGCTCTGCGTGATTTAGGACGTGGAAGTGCATCAGGCTCGCCCTATGACCACTGATCTTGTCAGAACTCAGACAATCCAAGCAGATTTGACTCTGGCTAGTGCTTTGAATGGGTGATCCACCATGCATGTAACGCGTATGCATGGTGGATGTATGCATGGTGGATGTTATGCATGGTACAGCGGAGCTACGTTTTGGGCAACAGAGGAAAGTGCAGAAAAATAAATTGGTGTCCTGCACTATGCCCCCATGTGTACGCTCCACGCCGTCACCAACTCGCACTGACCAGCGTGGACGGTCATTTAACACCCACACGGGAGTGCTGAGGTTCTCTTCTCAGCAGTGGAATGACAGAGGGGATGGACTCGACTGAACGTGCATTAGGCTCAAAGAGACAATCGAATCATTTTTACGGGACCCCGGGGTCCCGTAAAAATCAGGTCAATAATAATAATTATTATTTTTCAGTCCGCACCACTAACGTGACCCCGCCAGCAACGCGCCGCCCGCCCAGACTCTTGCCAACAACAAGCGCCACCAGCAGGCGGCGATCGACACGATGGGCACCACCCCACCGGCCAGACGCGAGCCCGCCGCCCCCCTTAGGCGGTGAATTTAACGTGTTTATGTAATCTTTCAACTTTTTACGAAACTTAGTGTCCCCGAGTAGCTCTCGACCAGGCCAATCGATTGACCACTAGAGTTTTGTATGTCGGTAAGGCAAGACTCGTGTCGCTACGCGGTTTTTCCCCACCCCGGGGCAGTGATGTGTGACCCCGGGGTCCCCGCAAATTGCTTCAATTACGTACATGCCAGCTATAAGCAGCCACGGTACATTGGCAATGTTGACCGACAGTAATAAATAGCAAGCGTTACTTTCGGCCCACTGTCAATCCACACCGCTGGTTGAAGGCTTCCCAACAACGCCTTTGGTCGAAGGGGGTTGGTTGACCATACTTCGCCACGTTGGTCGGTACGTTTTGATGGAGGTGGGAGGGAGATGCGCCCATGCACAGCACTGGTTCAAATGTCACTCGCCACTGATGTTAGCCGTCTACGGTGAAGTAAAACTCAGGTCGCCGGATGCACAGCACAGCGCGCAAAACCACTGCGCCACCGCTCCCCAACCAAAATTATTAATTTTTTTAAATCCGTTACTAAGTTATTGTGGTTGAGACAACAACGCAATCTAAACCCCAAACCAAACACCACAACGCCAACAAACAGAAGCTTCACGGGGCTGGGTGTCACCCCCAGTTAGACTCGGCCTAAAATTAATACATTAGCTAATGTTGGCGAGACAAAGACGGCCGAGCAGGTGTGTGTGTGTGGGGGGGGTTGGGTTCGGTCCCCCAGCGACAACCACCGTCACGACACGTGCTGTGGTGGCCACCTTAATAGGTGCTCGCAAACTGCACCACCATGGTTCCATCTCCCGCTCGCTCACTCACTCACACAGAGAGCGGGCTGCTATTGTTCTACAGCGCGCACGTGTTGGCACCACGCACCCGGCAAAACCTCGGTTCGCATCGCGGTCAAGGCTCTCTGGCACCGGGCAGCAACTTGTCCCAGACGCCGCGATCCTGGGCCTCAATTAGTTCGGCTCATTAAGACATTTAAAATAAAAATAAATAAAAACGACTACGGTAACTGGCGGGTGTCATCGCCCCCCCCCCCCCCCCACAGATGCTCAGATAACCACGGAGCATGATAACAAGAAACATTTATGACATTTAGAATGACATTGAGACATCATCCGAACCCGGTCCGAGCCCGCACCTCCTCCCAGCTCCCCCCTTCTGACCCAAGCGGCACTGCCCTGCGCGGTGCAGTACGGTCAAGCAGGCCTCCTGCGAAAGGCATTCATCCAGCAGTAGATTGAGCGAGGTATCCAGCGATACAAGATCCCCCCGTGAAGCCTTAAGAGACATGTTGGGGCAAGTGCTGCTACCTATGAAGGGCGGCACTGTGGCACACACCATGGCTGGGGGGGTTGGCCAGCACCACGGCCCGGCCGTCTTTGTCTCCCCAGTCGACAGAGGGGGTGGGGGTCCCAGGACCGGCTCGGTGTCGGCGGCCGAGGGCGGGAATCGAACTCGGCTCGGCGGGTTCCGTAGCGCCGCGCGCTCCACGCGACCGCTGCACGCACAGCGAGACGCCCCGGGCGTACCTGTTGTGTAGCTCTCGTTCTAGAGTCTGCAGCTTTGTCCTGGCGCGGCACACGGCCTGCCGCAACTCCCGGCAGGGCGGGCCCATGGCGTTCGGGGAGGGGGGGGGGAGCTCCCCTTGAGCCACTTAAGGGGGGGCGGCGGCTTTGTTTATTTATTTTTTAATCTCCGAGTTGGTTGGCGTCACGAGCGGTTGCAGTGAGGGTTTTCTGTCGGCTTTTACGAAACGCGGCGGTTGGGGCGGCACCTGCCGGGCCGCCGTACCCCCCCCCATACCCCTTCACCACCCCTCCCCCCTCACCCACATGGCTCCTCCACACCCCCCCCACATCCCCTCACACCTCCTCCCCCCCACACCCCCTCCCCCACACACCCCTCCACACCCCTCCCCCCCACACACCCCCACACGTGGTGACGTCATGGCCATGCCACTGCTTGTTAACGGTCAGCGCGCTGCGCTACGAACCCCGCGCTCCAAGTTCGATTCCCGCTCGTGGCCAACACCGAGCGACGATTATCTGAACCGGTGCTGGGCCTCCCCCGAGGTCGACTCAGCCTCGAATGAGAAGCTGGTGCCGTGTATATATATAAAAAAAATATCGCCACTGGGGAGACAAAGGCGGTCGGGCGTGGTGCATGGCCACCCACCTCCTCGTGTGCCGTTACGGCCTTCATAGGTGCTACTCGCTAACAGCACTTGCCCCTACAGTCTGTTAAGGCTAAACGGGGGGATCTTTGTCATTAGTTTTAATGTGATGGCAATTTGGTTGGCAAGTGGCTTTTGGCTTCTGGCCATCGAACAAAGGCGGTGGTCACCGCATCGCGCGCTTTCAGATGCGCTTCTGCGGCCGTCTGGAACGCTCTCGCTTCCGATATTGGGAAGCCACTGGGAGCTATGGCACTTTGAAATAGTCTGGATTGAAAACTAATTTATTTAGAACTGCTTTTAGTGTTTAGTTTGTTGACCTTCCCCCACACCTCTAATTAACACGCTTGGCTACACACGATGTGAAAGAAGTTCAACATACAGAAAACAAAAATAATATTGACTTGATGCACAAAGCACAAATAGCAATACAACACTCAACGCATGTCTTAATAGTCAATCGGATATATAGCATATAACTACTATAAATATAATCATCCAGGAATGTCCTTAACGCTCGTGACATCACTCCACATCGAACACCTCTCATTAATATTCATGAGCAGGTGACGTCCTCCAAATGGACACCCCCCCCCCCCCACACATTAATAATAATTAGCGGCTGACGTCACTCCACATAGGGGGCAAAGGCGCCTCCTCCCCCCTCCTCGGCGTCAACTGACAACCCTCACGACAAAGGCAGAACCCTCACGTCACGCGATCTCCGTGACGCTGTTGAGACATCGAAGTAAAAAGGACGTCATGATGAACAAGGGATTATAGCCTTAAAATGAAATAGGTCTGTGTAACCGCGCCCTTACAAATTGCACACGAATTGATGCAATGAATATTGCGTTGCGGTCTGCTTGTCGCTTGCAAGTTTCAGATTTACTGCAATACACCCGTCCTTGGATGGGCAAAAGGCTAGTAATATCAATATGCATGTTCTATGAACAGCAAGCGCCATTACCCCTGTCCTAATTTCAATTGTTTTAATAGTCAATCGGATCAATCTTGATCTAAAGCTTTCGTAACTGCAGGAATTCATACTGTATGGATCTTTCGGTACGTCACGAAATCAGACCCACACACCAACAAGAAATCGGACCCATACACCGAAAAGCTAGACGTTAACAAAGTCGTAATTAATTGCAGTAACAGTTATATTTCTGATGGTCTGAAAACCGTTTTAGCTAAAGGGCTAAACTTTGCAGTCACACCTAGACACATACCAGTTAATGATATCATTGCCCATGTCGACGTGGCACTCAAGGGCCTGGGTCACATGGCTGCAGACATAGCAAGATCTGAAATCGCTGCAACCCTCAAAAACGCTAAGATGCCAGCTAGCAACATCAGCAAAGATGAGCGCTTTGAATTATCTCAATTAAAAAAGAGGGATGACATTGTCATCCTCTCAGCCAACAAGGGCAATGCCACTGTCATCGTGGACAAAATAGAATATAACAACAAAATTCAGGAACTACTCAACGATGGCAGCTATACAAAAATAAGAAGAGGCCCCACCAACAGCCTCGTTACTAAAACCAACAAAATCATGTCTGATTCAACAGCATTAATTGATCAAACCAACCAGTTCTCGTTGAAACCTTCTGCGGCCAGACCACCAAGAAAATATGGCCTTCCAAAGATACGTAAATAATATATACCCCTTCGTCCCATCGTCTCTAATTTCAACTCCCCCACCTACAAACTGGCTCATTTTCTGTCTGAAATTCTGCGGCCTTTTGCTGGAAAAACCACCTCTGCGGTACTAAACTCTACTCACCTGGTATCGACAATCAACGGTATTTCCCTGTCCCCAGACGACCTGCTTGTCAGTATCGATGTGATTTCCTTATTCACCAAAGTTCCTGTACCTGACACCATCGCAATCATTGAAGACTTGGTTCATCAAGGACTGCATACTGATGTACCCCCCCTGGTGAGACACTGCTTAACCGACACATACATCACCTGGAATGTAACTTTCTACAAATAAACTGAGGGCACCCCAATGCCCCCCCCCCCCCCCCCTATCTCCGGTTGTAGCCAACGTTTTCATGGAGAAATTTGAGACTGACGCCATCCAGACTGCCACTCTACGCCCAACCTTATGGAAGAGATACGTGGATAACACTTTTGTTATTTGGCCACATGGCCGGCCTGCTCTAGACCAATTCTTCGACCACATAAATTCCATACACCCAGCCATCAGATTTACCATGGAAGTAGAAAAAGATGGCAAGCTACCCTTTTTGGATGTCTTAATTAAAAGGAGACCTGATGGTTCAATGAGCCACTCTGTCTACAGGAAAGCTACCCATACGGATGCTTACTTAAAACCGGATTCCCACCACCATCCATCCCAGAAGGATTTTCTCATAAAGACTCTATACCATAGAGCCCAATGCATTTCCGACCAGGAACACATTGCCAGTGAACTCAAGCACGTACACCAAGCTCTCAAGACTAATGGTTACTCCGACTACACAATCCGCAAAACCATCACTCCAACCATGAAGAAGGATCCTCTTGAGGAGCCATTCAAAACCATCACCTTACCCTACATTGCAGGGGTCACAAATAAGATCTCCAAAATACTGAATAAACACAAGATCCAGGTCCGATTCTACACAGTACATAAAATCCGTGATCTGGTTCCGTCTGTAAAAGATGTGGTTCCAGACATACAGTACCCAGGCGTCTACAAACTAAGTTGCCTCTATGGTAGCAGCTACATTGGAGAAATCAAACGACATATCTCGGACCGCATCCGTGAACATAAAGCAGACTTGAAACACGGTAGGACGAACACCTCAGCCGTGGCAGATCACTGTTATAATTCAGTGGGCTCACATGACATTGACTTCTCCAAGACGGAGGTTCTCTGCAAGCCATCCGGCTACCATGAGATATTCGTTCATGAGGCCATCCACATATACAAACACAGAGACAATTTCAACTGAGAAGATGGATTCTGGCTTAGTAACCATTGGAAATACGTTATAAACCATTTCGGTTCTTGATTGATTGTATTTTACGGTGACTTTCAGACCGCAGTCCATTCGCTGGCACTGCCTCTTAATACCTTTCACACGGCGGTCAATGGTATGGTTTATAGCATGTTGTATAATAATAAATAGTATAACAGTGTAATGTTTAACATAAATCATAAGGAAATATATTGTATCGTAATTGTATAGTGAATATACAGCAGTGTGGTATACAGTAGGGTTGGTAGAATAACACATAGTGTAATATTACAAGTCTAATATTTTATAGTCTAAAGTATAGGGTAGTGTATAGTAACGCATTGTATAATTCAAGGGTGGAGTTTGTCTATGGCAGTGTATATTACGGTGTATAGTCGTGTAATGTAGAAAAAAGTTTAGTTGGAGACATATCAATATAATGCATAATGTTAGAGCTTACATTGGGCTGTGTATACGATATTATACAATATAGTTTAGATTGGAAGGTATAATAGTGTAATGTATAGTAGTCTAGTTTATAGCATAGTAGTAACGCAACACAGGACAGAGCAGCGCATCGTGGCTGTTTCTCTCTCTCCCCCCTCCTCCATTCCGAGCGTAGATGGACTCGTCCGTCTGAACAAAGCTCGTCAATTTCCGTGGTGCTAACGTTGAAAATAAAAAAGAAACCGCCACTTTTTTTCGGCATATAATTGTAATGTATAACGACTATTGTTAGTAGCTCAGCTGATTGGAGAGTATATTTAGTTTATTGATAACATTGATGTAGTTTATATTTTAGTTTTTTTTATCAGTTTACTATATGGTATTCATTATATAGTGTAGTGTATACCCTGTTGCTTTATGTTAATAGCTCAACTTATTGAATAATATATTGAGTACATTTATTATTCTTTGGTTTTTTCGGTAAAGTCACGTAGAAATAAGAAAAAATAAAGTTACATAATATACGACGTTTCGATTGCAACACAAGCAATCATCATCAGGTAGAGGAAACACATAACCGCAGATATATATACAGACCTTAAGTAGAGGGAATTAACACAGATATACCAGGGGATACAGAGAGACGGAGCATCACACTAAATCAAACAGGGTTTAGCAAAATTTGGAAACTATGTAAAGCAACATAGACGGTCGGTTAAAACAATTAAAGCATGGTCTAGTTAAATTTTTATTTAAAGCTTTCGTGACTGGAGTAACTCATTCTTAGCTCTTTCGGTAAAGTCACGTTGAAGGGAAACAATAAAATAATATATATTTTATTTTATTGTAAAAATAATAAAATAATATATTTTATTTTATTGTAAAAATCATAAAAAATAGATATATTTTATTGTTTCCCTTCAACGTGACTTTACCGAAAGAGCTAAGAACATGGTCTAGTTGTGTGATGCTCCGTCTCTCTGTATCCCCAGGTATATCTGTGTTAATTTCCTCTACTTAAGGTCTGTATATATATCTGCAGTTATGTGTTTCCTCTACCTGATGATGATTGCTTGTGTTGCAATCGAAACGTCGTATATTATGTATTTTTTTTCTACGTGACTTTACCGAAAAAAACAAAGATTAATTCCTGCAGTCACGAAAGCACCAAATACATTTATTATATTGATGTAGTTTATACTTAGTTCTTTCAC